AAACCCAGTTATATCATGTACAGGTACAAATTCTATATAATGAATGGTTATGTATATCTAAAATGTACCAAGGGGGCTGGGGATTTAGCTCAGCGGAATAAGCACCTGCCTTACAAGCAGGCAGTCATGAGTTCGATCCCTGGTACCGATTAAAACAAAAAACAAACAAACAAAAAAATAAAATAAAATGTACCAATAAAATCTGATTAGAAAAAGAAAAGCATATACTTGGGGCTAGAGCTCTAACTCAGTGACACAATGCCTGCCTGGCAAGCATTAGGTCCTGAATTTTATTCCTGGTACCAAAAAAAAAAAAGGTTTACCAAAGAGTAGTTACAGATGATTGTGCAATATAATTTATTTATTTTGTTGTGGAGCTAAAAAAAATTTACTTGAAAAAAATTTTTTGGAAGCCAGGGATATAGCTGAATAACATAGTGCCTGCCTGGCAACCATGTTCTCACAAAAAAAGTATCAGGCAAGTTTCTTAGTCAAATATTATTCTGCTTTAACCCCAGAATATGCAATTGGATGAGACCTACAGGTAACACAATACAGAACTGATCAACAAACCAGGCTAAACTTCTACTGCAATGTAATGGTTCCAAGGGTTGACAAATATTCCAGAAGACCTACTAGGCCAATGCTCTTACTTAGAGAAAGGCTGCTGTCCACTGACCACTGGACAAATGTCTGTTCATCTTTTAAAGCTGAGCTTAGGAGGGCAAGTTTTCACTTAGAACTTTTTCTTTAAAAAAGCCCTCTAGGGGTTGGGGATTTAGCTCAGTGGCATAAGCACCTGCCTTGCAAGTAGGCAGTTGTGAGTTCGATCCCCGGTACCGATAAAAAGACCAAAAAAAAAAAGCCCTCTAAGGGCCAGGAATATAGCTCAGCAGGCATAAGCCCCTGCCTGGGAAGTGTAAGGTCACGATTTCGATCCCTGGCACAAAAACAAAATAATAATAAAAATAAAAAAGCTCTCTAAACTGGGTGTGGTGGCACATACCTATAACTCTAGCACTCAGGAAGCTGAGGCAGGAGGATCGCTAGGAGTTTGAGGCTAGCCTAGGCTACACAGTGAGTTCAAGACCAGCCTGAACTGCATAGTGAGATTCTGTCTCAAAAAAACTCCAAAAATACAAAACAAAAGAGCTAGAGATTTGGCTCAGCGGCATAAGCATCTGCCTGGCAAGCGCAAGATCATGAGTTCAATCCCTGGTATCAACAACAACAAAACAAAAACAAAAACAGTTATTAACAGAATTAGATTGATGATCAGTTCTAACTTCTTGCCTCTAAACAAAACAGCTTATTATTAAAGTCAAATACTATGATATAAAAATTGCACATGCCTTTCTGAGTTGTTTGGTTAACAGAAAAAATCCACTCTTCCCTCTTTTTACAACTCATCTTGCAGAGGGATCTACTAGGTATTCTTCATGTGTATGCTAATGTAGTGCTAAAATTTTTCAGTCTAACGCACTCCCTGCTGAGCTATCTTGGCCATCTACTGCTAAGATTCTTGATTTTACCAACTGGATAGTCCTATAAACGCTAATACAAACCTGGCACAGTGGTGCATGCCTGTAATCCTAGCATTTGGGAGGTTAAAGCGGGAGGCTCCTGGTGAGTTTAAGCCCAGCCTGGGTTACACAGTTAAATCCTGGCTAGCCTGAACTACATAGTGAGATTCTGTCTCCAAAATACAAACAAACCTCAAACAGAAACTTTCTTTTTTTTTGTTTTTTTCAGATAGAATCTCACTATACAGCGAAGACCTTGAACTCATTATGGCTTGGCCAAGCTCAAACTCATGAGGATCCTCCTGCCTCCACCTCCTGAAGCTGAGAATACAAGTGTGCACCACCACATCAGGTTTCTTACAGGAAAAAAGAAAAATTGTAAATACTTTATCAACTCAGGAGGCAAAGAGCAGAAAAATTAAAACAAACATTTGAAATTTCATGCATCATCTCTGTGAGATATAATATGAGTAAAAGATGTAAGAAAACAAAATAAACTTTGGCTGGCAAGTTCCTCTACAGGAGGAAATGTAGGAGGCATGGAAATGGTGGGGAAAAGGAGAATCATCTCAGTGTCACAACCACAAAAAGACAAAAAAAGGGCCAAAAGATTCACAAGACTGTGAATAGTACAGTAGCACACACACAAGGTTTAAGATGCTCTATGATTTTAAGGATAGAGTCTGGGTAGAAAAGGAAGTTGCTTTCCTACACTGCATCCAGCCCAGGGACCTGGACAGACCATTAGAGGTTCCCGATTCTCCTAACAGATCTCATCTCTATCAAACAAAGGTGTCCACATACAAAGCCAAAGGTAAACTAGTAGCCTCTAGTAGTGGGGAAAATATACCACAGGATGATGGTCATCCTAAAAAAAATGTTTTTTTTTTGTCTTTTCTTTTTTATTGGTCCCGGGGATTGAACTCACAACTGCCTGCTTGCAAGGCAGGTGCTTATGTCACTGAGCTAAATCCCCAGCCCCTCTAAAAATTTTAATGCATAAAGAATTTGCTAAAAAATAGGTCATTGGGACACTAGGAAACTAGGTCCTCAAGAATAGGGAAAATGCTATTGAACAGCAGGGCTAATTTTCCTTTCATCTGACTATCAGATCAGAGTACTGAAATTTAAGGAATGCCTATATAAAGAGCCAGGCTTTAACTGCTGTAACCCACATACACAGCAGTTCAGCTTGGTATGCCAGCTGTGTTCTCCCTATATTGTAACACTATGCTCTAGAGTGTAAAGAATGCTCAGAGGTAAGGTGATAGCAGCCTAACAAGGATCCTGTTTTGCATGTCTACGTGGCTAATGAATTTTTTTGCTGTTGTTATCAGAAATCGAATTCAGTATCTTGCACTTGTCAGGCAGGCACTCAAGCCATTAGGCTATGCCCTGTGTCTAATGAATTACCAAAAAAAAAAAAATGTACTTTAATAAAAATATAGTTCCATAGTCTGTAAATTACAAGTCTAATAAATTCAACTATAAATTATGTAATGACAATTACAACATAAAAAATCAATACTGGTATATACATTATCTGGAATTTTTATGACAAAGACAGCATGATGAATAAAAACTATCATTTAGAATTTATTTGGAGAAAGAAGAAATTATAAGTTATTTTCTATTCCAACCTGTAATGCTGATACAATGTAAAGTTTGTCAAGAAATTGAAAAGCCAGGCAGGTGGAATATATCTATTATCCAGCACTCAGGAGGGTGAGGCAGGAGGGCTGCTTCAAGTTTGAGGCCAGCTTGGGCTACATAGTGTTCAAGGGCAACCTTAACTACGTGAGCCCCTGCCTCAAAGAAGCCAATCAATCAAAACAATTGTAGGACTCAAGTTGTAACATCTTGATAAAAGAAGAAACGATTAGTAAAGGATGAGTGAATTTTAAAACTGTAATTTTACCAAATCTACCTTGTCCCAAAATGTTAAAAAAAAAAAAAAAAAAACACAGCCAGATGTGGTGGCGCACTTTTGTGTTCCCAGCACCCAGGAGGCTGGGGCAAGAGGATTGCTGCAATTTTGAGACCAGCCTGGGCTACAAAGTGAGCTGAAGGCCAGCCTGAACTGCACAGTGAGATCCTATCTCAAAAAACAAAAAAACAAAAAAACCCACACACAAACAAAATTAAGGAACTAAAATCATTCTCATTTCCTGAACCCTGTAGTTTAGGAGGAACAGTACTTCCTGACACCGGAAATTAGTAAGTCACCCTCACTTTCACAATCAGTAGCTGAGGCTACAGTTTTCAAACTTGGGTAGACTAACATTTTTTAAGAACTTCTGATAGTCTTAAGGGAAAGTTTTATTACTAGCAAGGTTATATGACAAAATTATAATCATGTAACAGTTCTCAAACTTCTTTACATTGGAGTCTGAAAAATATGACTTCTCTTTTATCTCATCTCTTTTTTCTATCAGCTCCTCCCAATAAACCCAATGAAATCTTCTAAACCAGCTGACAAAACTGGTTTAGGAACCTAAGTCTGCAGTGGTCAATATGAACGTGGCCCTGACTACAAAGACTCAATATAGCACTCAAGACATTTCATCTGAAGCTCAAAGTGATAGTTATGTGGAATCAAGCCCTAAAAGCCTCTTCAGAAGTCCTCAATTTGACAGAATAGCACATTACATTACCCGACATTGCCCTGAGTGACCTCAGCGAGTTAAACCACTGTCTCTGTAAAAATATAAATTGCAAAATGTAATTTCGTGATGCGTATCAGTGTTTGGGCCAAGTGTGACTGTGCACACCTTGTAATCCCACCACTTGGGAGGTCAAGACAGAAGATCACCATGAGTTTGAGGCCAGCCTGGGGTACATAAGCGAGTTTAAAGCCACTCTTCACTATATCATGAGACTGTCTCAGAAACAAAACAAAAAGCAAAGTCTTTGGGGACAAAGTCACTAGAATATGACCAATCATACTATTCCTTGTGAGCGGCCTTATGTCCTGCTTTATGGCTAAGAAGCACATGTCCAACCCACAAAATTTTCCAATTTAGGATTCTCTATATCAAAAAATGATCACACGTTATTTACATTTAGTCAAAATATCCATTTCCTTATTTTATAGAAGCAAAAATAAAGACGTTAAAACTTTGCCATACACCTTCCTATACTCAAAATACTGCAGCTGAGTGTGATGGCTCACACCTGTAATCCTAGCACTTGGGAGGCTGAGGCAGAACTATAGCTCCAAATTTGAGATGAGTCTGGACTAGTCAGTTAAAGGGCAGCCCAAATTACATAGTGAAACCAAAAACAAAAAGAGAGAGAGAGAGAGAGAGAGAGAGAGAGAAAATAACCATTTTATTCCGGAAAAGTCCTAAGCATCCCCCAAGTGGGGGCCTTGGTTGCTAATAACCCTAGTAGAATGAGAAGTGCCTTCCTACTGGATGCTCATGCTGGATAAATAAAGCAGTAATGAAAGTACCCGCTGGCTAGGTTTCCACTTACCCTCGGTGACATCCTGGGGGTTGGAAGTCCGGTCACTGGCAGGATCCAGGGCAACAGTTGCTAGAGATGTGGTGGCCCCAGACATCTCACTCATAGGCTCGCTACGGCTTGTTTCTGGCACACTTTCCCTGGAGCTAAATCGTACACGGGAACTAGATCTCGAGCTGAGGTCTGGGCTAGTGTCTGACAAACCGGGAATGTCATCGATCTTTGTTGGTGTCACCATGAACCGAACCGAAGCCATCTTTGTGGTGGTTTCAGGAGGATGCATGTTTCCTTTCCTTTTTGACAAAGAAAAAGGAAAAATGTTGCAAAAATCTTCCTCCTAGACTAGCTACTTTTGATTGTACTACACTTTAAACTCAATTACTTTAATTCAGGTCCCACAAAAAGCCCTAAATAAGGATCCTTCTACTCAAGAACTCAAGACAACTGTCCTAGAAAATGCACCATGAATAGCTTAAAAAATAGTTGTGAGAAACCAAAAAAAAAAAAACGATGCCAATCTTGCGGAACTTCGTTCGTTCGCAATAAAGAGCTACCTAGCTATGTCCCCTGGTCCAGAGTTAGGGGCGCAGTGCCATGGTCTCACAGCAGCGGGTGAAGATTTGCCCAAACCCTAGGTTCCTGCCAGGCAGCTCCTTCCCCAGACCCCAGGTTCCTTTATCTGATGAGTGTCACACGACTCCAGCTGAGCTAAGTGCGTGCAGGCCCACCCAGAGCAGGTGAACCCAGTAGGGAGCAGATCGCGGAAAGATGCGCACCCGGCCACCTGTTGTGTATCAGGTGAATACCCCACAGGTCTGGCTGAGAGGAGGTGTGCGCAGAGCCACCTGATGTTTTTGAGGTTGAGAGTCCACTCGGGTCTGGTGCAAGAGGTGCGCACGCATAACGGGAGGAATAACGACACTACGGATGGAGAATGGAGGGCTGAGGACGCAGGGCAGACGAATTCCTGCCTCCAAAGGTGCCAGGGTGGCGCGCCCGCTCTTCCGGCAGGGAGTCCCTGGATCTGCCGGGGCTGTGGGCTCAGGACATCTCGGAAAGCAGCGACGGGTCGCGGCAGGTCGTCGCCGGGCTCGCTGCGCTGCTCCCGCGCGTGACAGGTTGCACCGCCCCTCGGCCGAGAGGCCCTTTCTGCCAGCTCGGGGCAAGTCAGCCCCTGCCGCCCTTCCTTCGGTCCCAGGAGACGGCCAGGCAGGCTGGCCCCCACTGGACAGAAGGGGCGACAGGCGGAGCACGCGGAGATCGCAGGTGCCGCTCCGGCGCCGGCGGAGGGGCTGCGCGCGCAGCCGTTGTTTACTAGCCGGTAAACGTCTCGGGCCGCGCCGCGCAGGGCCGGCGCCCCCTCCCCCGCCAGACGCAGCAGCGGCTGTTACGTGACCTCGCCACCCCCCGCCCCGGGCCCGGCGGGCTGTGCCCGCGCCGCCGCAGCCCTGCCCTTCGCTCCCCGCTCGTTCCTCATTCGAGGCTAACAGTCCTGAGAAGCCTCGGAGGCTGGAGGGCGGCCCGTCCCGCAGGAGCCTGAGCCCCGCCCGCCTCTGCAGCACGCAGTGCGCCTGCGCACGCCTGCCGCGGGAGCGGCGCACGACGGGAGCTGTAGTCCAAGCTGGAATCTTACGGTGGAGAAAGCCAGTCCATGGAGTCTGCGGCAGGCATCGCCTTTACCGGTGGTCCTAGGAGATATCTAATTAAACCTAGGAGATATCTAATTAAAAGCGTCTCTGAAAACATCAGTACAACTTTCTTAGACCGAAATTTCCCAATGCCTTTACCTAGATGACTCTCATAATTTTTACATATTAGGCCTTTGGAAAAGTGTCCCAAAATTTACACACTATACACAAGTCACCCCTTCCCGTTCCTGCCATTTTATTTTATTTTTATTATTTTGGTTTTTGGAAACAAAGTTTTTGCGATATCGTTCAGCCTGGCCAAGGCTGGTCTCGAACTCACACTGAAACCATCCTGCCTCCGCCTCCCAATTATAGAGGTGCGCCACCACACCACGATATGTTCCAGTCTTTTTAGAACTTACTAGACCCACCCTGTATCCAGGTTTAAATTTCAATTAAAGAAAATGTCTTTTAACTTTGGAGTTAGGAAGAAAACCAATGATTTTCTTTTCATGACATTTTGTTGAATTTACTGGCAGTATAGTATTTTTTGCTGGTGCATAATACAAAATGAGACTCATAATGGTATACTGGCACTTGCATGCATGTTTTAACTATTTTCATCCCCAGTACCCCCTTTTTGTGACAGGGCCTTGATAAGTAGTCCAAGCTGGCCTAGAATTTGTATTCCTCCTGCCTCAGACTCGAGTGCTGTGATTACACGTGTGCCTCAGCATCGAGGGCTGTGCTTATTGCACAGAAGTATTAGTATGTATATTGGCTCAGCAATGTTTTGTTTGAAAGTTTCCTATAACTTTGATCAGAACTCCTAAATTCCAGAAGCTAGTTCCTAGCATTGCATGGGTCCTTCCTCTCCGCAAGTGGGATGTTTCAACAGTACCCTTAACTGTTTTGAGACCTGAGCTTGAAAATCTTTTGTCAAATTGTCTATTAAAAAAAAAAAAGGCCAGGCATATAGCTCAGTGGCACAGTGCCTGCCTGGCAAGCACAAGGTCCTGAATTTGATTCCCAGTACAAAAAGGGAAAAAAAAAAAAGCTAGCCTGATAAAAAGACAAAGTACCATTTAAGAGGTACATCTGTGGCGGAGGCTAGCTCAGTGGTACATTTGCTTAGATGCCTGAGCTTATGGATTCCATCCCCAGCACCAGAGGTAAAAAACAAACAAACAAACAACAATAAACCTACTGGGGCCAGGGATTTAGCTCAACGGTATAAATTCCTGCCTGGTAAGCACAAGGTTGTGAGTTTGATTCTCCAGTACCAAAACAAAACCAAACCAATAAACCTATTCAAGTTTGATTCAGGATTTTTTTTCCTCAGGCAGTGGCTGCTCAAACATTATCCTTTATAAAGAAATGCTGAGTTTTACAATTTTTGTTCATCAAACTATTTGCTCCTGTATATCACCTAAATCCAAACTATTTACCTCTTGTGACTGTTCTTTCTCTTCCTGTCTGAGCACTAATCAAGCACTCATAAATGCACATCTCAGATGATCTCACAAATATTTATGCTGGCTTGTCTTTTCTATAACATCCAAGAGTATTTCATGGTTTAAAGTTCTTTGTTTTTAAAGTCTTTTTATTTAGGTCTACATGGTGGCAGAGAACAACTTTAATCCTTATTTTTTTGTAAGATACAGAATTTTATCCAATTCCAATTCAATTGGAAAAAAGAAAAACATCCGGTAGAACTAATGACTTTAGTTGTTAAGAAACTTTCAGAGGCTGAAGCAAGAGGATTTCAAATCCTAGAGGCAAGCCTGGGCAACTTAGAAAGACTGTCTCAAAATAAAAAAACATAGGCTTGGGAGCTATATGTAGTGGCCCACCCCTATAATCTCAGCACCCTGGAGGGTTGAGACAGGAGTCACAAGTTCCAGCTCAGTATGAGCAATTTAACAAGCTCCTGCCTCAAAATAAAAAATAGCTGTGGATGTAGCCCAATGTAGAAGGTTCTGGGTTAAATCCCTAGGCCCTTCCCAATAAATTAATACTGCTTGACAATAAACAAATACCTCATTTTACCTTTCTTGTAATTTCTTTGAAAATCTTTAGTCTTCTACTCATGATGAACCAAGCCCAAGTTTTGTTTTCTCAGCAGTGAACAACCACCCGCAACTTTCCTGCTTGCATACTTATTCATCACAATCTTAGAAACCTATCTACTCCTTACCAGAGCAAGAGCACGTAAATCATGTTTGTGCTGATCTGCCTTACATCTGCTTCTGGAGCCTGAAATTTTGATATAGGTAAAGATTGCAGAATAAGAACTCTCCACAAAACAGTTTTAAAATCAGTAGCACTAAAAACACTCAAACTTAGGCAGGTGTGGTGGCTCACGCCTATAATCCCAGCACTCGGGAGGCCGAGACAGGAGGATCGTTGCAAGTTCGAGACCAGCCTGGGCTACAAAGTGAGTTCAAAGCCAGCCTGAACTGCATAGAGACCTTGTCTCAAAAAGACAAAAAATAAATAAAAAATAAAAAAACCCACTCAAACTCAACTCAAAAGTCAATAGGACTAAGAAATAATGAAATTAAGTTGACAAGAAGCATAAGCAAACTAATGTTTTCTGACTGCCTCTACACAATGTTTTACCTCACCATCACTCTAATTTAAAGTGATTAAGAATCATTCGTGGGCCAGGTATGGTGGCACATCCCTGCAATTCCAGCACTAGGGGGGTTGAGACAGGATTGCTGTGATTTCCAGACCAGCCTGGGCTACATAGCAAGACCCTGTCTCAAAACAAAAAAAAAAAAAAACCCCAAAAAACCAAATAAAAACAAAACGAAAAACAATATATCTCAACAGTAACTGGAAACACAACAAAAATTCCTGGTTGAATCTCTTAAACCTCATCCATAGAGTGTTCCACGTAGTACCTACCTGCTAAAGGTAACAGAAAGTTAGGTGTTTGTAAGAAGACAACTGGAAAAAGAACTAAGTCTGGCAGTATTTCCAGAGAGGCAGTACACAGGCTTTAAAGGCATGAATATTCACAACTGGACAAACCTATCGCTACATTATAAGGATCCACCACCACTCAATTTCGGAGTTGGAAGAAAACATAAAAAATAAGAGATGGCACACAATTGTAAACTTAGCTGAGGCTGCACGGATATATTTGAGGCCAGCCTGTGTTACATAGTAAGTTCAAGATCAGCCTGAATTACATAAAGACTCAAGGAAATCTGGGCATGGTGGCACACCCCCGTAAATCCTAGGATCACCTGGGGTTCAAGGCCAGCCTGAATTACAGAGCAAGATTTTGTCTTAAAAAAAGCATGAATGAAAGAAAATGGGAGGAAAGGGGGCCAAAAAGTTTAGTATGCTTTTTACTATGCTTTTTACTTCCAACATCCTACAACATGTCTATTATTTTTCAAGCAACTCTTTTATTTGACTCAAAAGGGTCAAGACATCCCTTCAGTGTATTTTCAGCGAATGCTGACATTTGTGTCTCCGCCTTCCAAATGCCCTCCTATCCCTCCCAGCACAGCTTTATTCCTTCTACAGTAGAAGTTTTTCTTGTTACAACTCTTCTTTCATTTTACACGGTTTAAGAAACCAAAATTATCAATTCTTCCCTCCTACAACACACAAAATGAGAGCTCTTTTGAGTTATTTTATCTTTAATAACCTGACAATAATTCAAAATATGAAGTCAAACTTGTTTCCTTTAATGGGGATGCCACCATCATAGGATGCCTCACAAAAGCGTTATGAAAGGCAATAAAGACACTAGATCCCAAAAAACCCTGGTTGGTAAGAAGGTCTTCCGGGCTCACTGATTGACGTCTGGTTACGGTGTCTCCGAAGGGCAGCAGCAGGCAAGCGAGACAGGAGACAGAAGGAACCTCAGAGGACGGGGCGCGGCTGCTGGGTCATGAGCACCTTGAAGCGCTTCTTGATGGTGATTCGGTGTCGGGAGTATTTGTCGTCTGGAGAGAACCGAGCAGGATGAGCTGAGCAAGTCTGCTGCCCCATCGGGTCAAATTTCTGCTCGAGGAAGAAAATGATGTCAGTACAAAAGCGACTGAATAGAGGGAAGGCAACACAAAAAAAGGACAAACGTGAAGACTGGAGACGTGATGGTCAGACCACGAGGGCTCTACCCCGCCTCCCTTCCGGACTATCCGGCTCCCCCATTCGGCGAGGCAACTTGCCGGCTGGGCTCCAGCACGCCTCCCATATGTATTCCTCGCCACGCTGGCTTACTACTGTTTGCTCTCCTTACCTTCAGCGTGTACACCCGATCTCCCTCTTCGTTCAAGTAATACTGGAGAAACATGACCACGCTACCCGAACAGTACTCCAATAACAGCCCCCACTTCTGCCCCGGTATTTCTCTACTTCCTTCTAGTGAAAGAGGAAGTTTGTTTTGAGGCATGCCGGGAAATGTAGTTCTCTCTGGTTTTAGAGTCAGCTGGCCAGAAGGGGGTGTACTAGTGCAGGGTTTGACGGGGCAACTTGCAATTTTGCACACGTTGGGGCAAGTTGTAATCTTGCAGGTGTTCTAAAGACCCATGGAGTGTGCCCTTTGTGTGCCAGGCAATGATAGGTCTTGAGGGGTTTGGGAGGTTAGGGATGGACGAGGATTGAACATTGATATTTACAGCTCGCCTTGATCTCAAGATGTACACCCATTTTAGAAGTGGTAACGTTCTTGTTCTCCGGGATTCAAAAATCCTTATACCCTAGGAAAGATTTTCTTCCTCCCCACTTATACATCCGGTCCCCCGCCCCATTTCAAAGTATTGGCGGTAAAGAGTGCCTGATGGGTATTGGATATTCTGCAAAGCGAACAGAACGTTTTTACGAAACGGAGCAAGTGTGTTCCAGTGATCGAACTAAGCTTTAAACTCAGGCCTTTTAACAGCAGTGCCCGCGCTCTTACAGTGGTGAGTAACAACTACTAGCATAATAAGGTGCCCCTTGTAGAGAATTTAGAAATTTTAAAATAACGTAGACATTCTCCTTATAATTTAAAGAAATGAAAATGGGGACGAAGATATTACAAAGATGGTGGCCATTGCGGCACTATTTTATAGTGGCAAAACACTGGAACATGTATTAATTTTGAAAACAGAAAAACCTGAAAGTTTTTTTAAAAAAAATCATTTGTATTTGTAGTTGCATAAAATATCTCTGCAAAGATTTATAAGAAACATGAAATTGGGGGGAAAAAGGAACATTAAATTGGTTTTCTCTGGGATAGAGAACTTGGTTGCAGGGAAGAGGGGCAAGAAGAATATTTATTGCTGTATGCTCTATTTTTCATAAGTTGATTTTTGAACCATGCTGCTATACACTATTTAAAAAATTTTAAAAACCAACAAAGTAAGTTAACAAAGAGAAGGACTTTCTGGCCTATAAATTTTAGGTTAAATGGAAGAGTTTTGTTGTTATTGTTTTGGCTTGATTTAGTTATTTGTAGTGGACTTTATCAGCAAAGTGCAAGGCCGTGGCTTCAGTGGACTACAGGGTTTATGGCAGTAACCTGTCTGAGGACTGCAGGGTAGTTTTCCAAGGAAGCAATGTGCACACAGATGAACACCCTGGATCATCTAAGACAATTCTAATTTTGAACATTTGGTTCTCTCAACTCAGCTCTACAAACTGTGTGTTCTGATTGTGGTGGGAAAATATAGCCATAGTTGAAGTAAGCCAAATGTGTGCCATCAGTATGTTATTAGGAAGTCAGTTACAGGGCTGGGCAGAATTGAAGAACAAGGTTAGGAATATTGGTGAAGAACTGAAGAATAGGGAGACAAAAAGTAAAACAATAGTGTAATGTTTGGAATCTGAGAAAGGATTTACAAATTTCTGTAAAGAGGTGCACATCAGCTGTGTTAGCAAACTTTAATTTGGAGGGAATTCCTGTTTTGTTTTGTTTTGTTTTGTTACTTTGTTTTTTTGTGGTGGTAGTGGTTAGTATACGAAGGACCAAAATCAGGGCCTTCATATTGAGCTATATCTACAACCCTTATTTATTTATTTATTCAGCTTTTTGAGACAGGGTCTCACTAGGTAGCCCAGGCTGGACTTGCATAAATGGTTCTGCCTCAATGTCCCAACTGCTAGGATTAAAGGCATGTGCTACCCTGCCTGGTTTAACTTTTTATTTTGAGCCAGGGTCTAAGTCACTAACTTGCTCAGGAGAGACTGGAACTTTGGATCTTCCTGCCTCAGCCTCCCAGGATGTGTGTCACCACACTTGGCAACCCCTGGTTTTGGTCTACTTGCTAGAGCCTGGTGTGGTAGTTCCCTACCCTCACCCAGCATCTCTCTCCCCTCCCCCACAGCAGAATGTTAGAATCTGAGGTTCCAGTTCTGTCGTGAACCAGTCTTTGCCTTCCTTTCCTTGGATACCTGTGCAACTGCTACAGCCAGGTCACTTTCTGGATCTTGGACCTGGCTGGCTCATTCTGGAGGCTTCCAGAGGTAGAAGATGGCTTCTGACCGAGGTGGGTCTGCAGGCGTGGCGGGGGAGGCCAGGGCACCTTTTCAGGTCTGTGGGGATTCACATTTGCCTCCTCGCCCTGGGACAAGCTGTTGGGACTGGTGTAGAGGGATATGAGAAGAGGGTCCTCGGCATAGATACCACACTTGGTGAGGCAGGGGAGGTTTATGACCAAGGGAAGGGGTGGAGCCCTTCTCCTTGGAATGCCTCAGGGCACATCGGAGAAAACACGCTGAGAATAGGAAAAGGATGGCAGGTAGCAACCTGAGTCCCTGGAAAAGTCCATGTGTATCTGTGTGCAGAAAACGCTTAGTGGGAGTGTTCATACTCCCACATCCCCGAGTCTTCTGTGGGCAACTGGAGTTGGCTCTAGACTTTTTTTTTAACCTATGAGGACCGAGCTGGAGCCTCTCTTAATCTCATGAGGGGAAGAGGGGGAAGAGGCAGGGTGTGGTGTTGCACACCTGTAAGTCCAGAACTCGGAGGCAAGAGGATCACCTGGAATTTGAGGCCAGTCTGGGCTACCTAGAGGGACCTTGTCTCAAAAAAACAAAAAAAGTCTCATGAGGGAAGAAGGAGTGAAGTGGGAATTAAGGCAGGTGCAATCTCGGCAGGAAAGTTTAGTGGGGTTATCTGTGTAGGGACATGTCCCCCTGGAAATAAGGCCAACTGTCCTTAGATCTTCCTGCCTCAGCCTCCCAGAGTGCTCACAGCTCTTCCCAACCCTTTTCTTTCAGTTAGTGAGCAGTTTTTCTTAATATGCTGGGCTAGGGAAGATGGGCCACTCCAGCCAGGATGAGAATTGGGGTTTCCCTGAGATATGCTGTTTTTCTTGATTTCGTGGATCCGAGGTGTGAGACCCATTTCATTTTATGCTGTCTTTGGTGGCCTGTCCTGGCCCTCTGCTCTGTGGCTGAGCTAAGTGTGAATCTGAGTTTCCTAATACTCCCTGTCTTCTTAATGGTCAGGAAGCAGGGGCTGAGTGCTCTTCGTTCACTCAGTATTTGTAAGAGGGACAGAAGAGTGACATGAAAGTAGGGAGATAAGGTACTGTTATTATTAAAATCCTAGAAGACATGCATCCTGATTTTTTTTTTTGTACCAGGGATTAAATTCACAAGCTCACACTTGACAGGCAGGCTCTGGTGCTACTGAGCTAAATCTCCAGCCTTTTTTGTTTGGTTTTTGAGACAAGGTCTCACTGTGTAGTTCAGGCTGGTCTTGAGCTCACAGTAATCTTATCTGGGCTTCCCACATGTTCTGGGATTACAGGTGTGCACCAGTATGCCCAGCCTGGATTCATTGTTTGTGTGCTTCCCCCAGTCCCCCCGAGTAGAGTCCACAAAGCACCTCCTCAGCAAGGACTGCACTCCACATTTCACAGTCTTTCCCCCAATACCAGCTCTGTGACTTGTTCCCACTGTGCCTCAGATATCCGCTGTTTGCAGCTCCAAGCAGAAGGGCCCCAGAGAGTTTACACCACCAAGCTTCTTTTTTTTTTTTTTTTTTGTCTTTTTGAGACAGGGGGTCTCTGCAGTTCAGGCTGGCCTTGAACTCACTTTGTAGCCCAGGCTGGTCTCGATTGCAACAATCCTCCTGCCTCAGCCTCCCGAGTGCTGGAATTACAAAATTAAGTTTCTTTTTTCTTTTTTTTTTGTCCTTTTCTTTCTTTATCGGTACCAGGGATGGAACTCACACTTGCAAGGCAGGCGCTTATGCCGCTGAGCTAAATCCCTAGCCCCTGTACCACCAAGCTTTAACATGCCCAGCAGTTACTTGTCCCTCTGGAAACCTCCTTCTGTGACCCTTTCCTCTCCATTTTTTGGTGCTTACCTAATCCTCTTTAGTTACTCCAGGCTGTTGTCCATTATTTCTGGGAGCCAAACATACAGGCACAAATCCTTCTCTGGGAACCACGTTTCTGCATGTGGCAGAAGGGACCCAGTAGCTGGGAGCAGGTGCTTTGAAACTCTTGTTTGGAGTGTGTGGGAATGGTAGACACATAAGTATACTGTGGGATGTGTTTTAGGGCTTGAGTTCCACGAGTCCCAGAGTCATTGTTCCTATTTACACATGGCATCTGTCTGAGTCACTTTCCTATTGATCAGATATGACGGCCAACATGCACTATTTATTTATTTATTTATTTTTGGTACCAGAGCTTGAACTCATGACCTCATGTTTGCCATGCAGGCACTTAACGCTGCTGAGCTAAACCCCCAGCCCAACATGCACAATTTAAAGGAGGACAGGTTTATATGGCTCAACTTCCCAGGGAGTTCAGTCTAAAGCTGTCCAGCTCAGGGACAGAAACGCAAGACAGAAGGGGCTGGTGGAGGGAAGCTGCTCATTCCGTGACAGCCAGGAAGCAGGGGAGAAAGAAGGAACCAAGCACAGAAATACACCCTTTCAGCTAGGCATAGTGGAGCATGTTTGTAATTCCAGCACTCAGGAAGCTAAGGCAAGAGTATTGCTGTGAGTTTGAGGCCAGCCTGGACTTACAGGGAGACCCTGCTTCAAAAACAAACAAGTCGGGTGTGGTGGCGCAGTCCTGTAATCCCAGCACTTGGGAGGCTTGAGGCAGGTAGATCATTATGAGTTCAAGACCACCTTGTGCTACCAAGTGAGCCCAAGGCAAGCCTTAACTGCATAGTGAGACCCTGTCTCAAAAAAGGAAAAAAAAAAAAAAAAAAAAACCCAAAAACAAAACCAAAGCACCCTTCCAATTAAGATGTGTTAAGAACATGTCCTAACTCCCCCACAATGAATGAAATCATTATGTACCATAAATGTGTACTAATAAAAATAAAATTGTAAATTCTCCCTCCCCACATATCCTTGTAGGATATTCCAAGACCCACCTGCAGCCAAGCCCCACCTCCCAGCAGCATGGTCTTCTTAACTCAGGAATGGATGAATCCACAGTGTGCATAATATTTCTAGGGTCCAGTCCCCTTTCACACATGAGAATTTGAGGGGGCCATAACAGCCTGCTGTATATGTTTTTTATATTAGGAAAGAAACACTATATGGACTAATAGGGAAAGGAAGAGAGGATGGAGCACTAATCTTGTGAAATTGTCTCCTCCTCCAGGGCCCTGTGGGTTCTTTGAAAGCAGCTATGTCTTTTCCTGGACTGACTCCCTTAATGCTTGGAGGCTGCTCTGGGTTATTTTCCTTGAAGAGTGGGTGTCAGCCTGTTCTGTGTCCTAGTAAACAGTCTATGGGGCTGGAGATGGAGGTCTGCCGGGAATGTTCTTGGAGAAGCTCTTAGAGATGGTGACTGCTTGGGTCTGCATCTGTCGGTCTCTGTCTTGACACTGACCTTGTGAACCTCAATCCTCCTGGGGTCTTTAGATACAGGTCTCTGTGTGCTTTGTTGAAAATTGACTGACTTCTCTAGTACAGTAATTTGTAACTGAGAACAAGGATATCAAAATCTCTTGGGTGCACACCTGTTTGTGATAGTGTGATAATCCCAGCAGTCAGGAGGCTGAGGCAGGAGGATCATGAATCCAAGGACACTCAGTCCTACACAGTGAGATCCATCTCAAAAAACCCACTTCAGAGCACTCAGGAGGCTGAGGCAGAAGGATCACCACAAGTTCAAGGCCAGTCTGGACTACATAGTGAGTTCAAGGCTAGCACAAACTCCATAGTGGGACCCTGTCTCAAAAAAAAAAAGAAAGCCAAAAACCAACCAAACAAACATGCATCTACCCATTTTGGAGACATTTGTAAACCACACAAGTTCCCCACCCATAGGTGCTCTTTGATCTGTTGAGAATCAGTTCTCTGCTTCTTTAGGGGACATAGGGGAACTCAGCCCACCTAACTACGCCATTCTCTCCTTTTGTCTCAGTGGCATCCCCACTGCTGGGACTGGATGGGGGCCTGATAGCTGGTGCTGCCCCAGCTCCTTTCACCACCCTCCCCTTCAGCCTGCTGTCTCCAGAGGCGCCAGACCAGCCAGCGCGGGAGCTACCTGCACAGCCCGCTGTGCCTCCCGCATTCTCCCCAGGAGACCCACTGGTGCTCTCTGCTTTCCCCAGCCCACTGCTGGCGACGGGGGATGGGGACCCTGGCCCCAGTGGGCTGGGGGCCTGCAAGGTCATTGTCAAAGTCAAGACAGAAGCCGGCCCGACGGAGCCCTTTCAGACCCAGAACTTCACTGTCACACAGCCAGCCTTCAGTTGGCTCACCTCGGGTGCTACATGTGCGGGCTTGGAGGGTCCTGCACCTCAGTATGTGAGCACCTCTAATGTGAATACCATTCCGCCGGCTTCCACGGTTTCCGTGAGCCAGGAGGGTCCCTCAGACCTTTTCCCTCAGGCTCCACCACCAACTGCCCAACTGGCCTCCATTGTGTTCCCAGAAAAGGCTTGGCTAGGGCCACAAGGCGCCACCGGACAGCCCTCCGTGGGTGAACTTGCCTATGCTCCCAAGGGTGTTTATGAGAACTTTCGTCGCTGGCAGTACTACAGAGCCTTGGTCCAGAGATACCTCTCCCAAAATCCTGATGCAGAAGCTCTTTGCTGCTTTCTCATGTAAGTGGGGTTCCCAGGGAGATTATCCTGCTGATGGGAGGGGACTTTGGGATGGACACAGGAGCTTAGGTGTACTCGAGGGCAGATCAGAGGGTGAAGAGATGCTGTGAGAATGAAAAGCATAATGGCCCTTTATCCTCTTTCCAGTTTATAACAAGCTTTCACTTGTCATCCTTCAGGGGATCTTAAGGCACTGAGTTCAGGCAGGTGTCTTTAGGGTAGTCCTTGCTCACAGATGTGAAGTTCAGAGGGGCTTCCTGCCTTATAGCAAGGCACAGTGATTGGAACCTAGATCTCTGAACTCCCAAGTGTCAGGGTCCTCCTGGACTGTGTCACTGCCCTGTGGACTCAGTAAACATGTGGGGTGCTGGGCCTTGTCTCTTTCCTGTGGTTGGGCAGCTGGTGCTGGGCCAGCGGGTGGGCTTCCTGTGTGCTGCCCCTCTGCACCAAACTTGGAAGTCAGGGCGGAATAGGGAAAGCAGCTCTGTCACTGGCTTAGGTTTGTGATGCTGGGTGGAGCATTTAGCACCTTTGACATCAGTTTTCTCTTCTAAAAGGGGAATAATCATCTAAGGGTTGCTGGAAAGATTAGAAGTGCTTGGCAAGGTGCCTGGCATAGAGAATGTGTCATTAAATAGGAACTATTTTATTATTGTTATAAAAACACAATCCAAAGGAGGAAAAGAGATCACAAAAGGCCAAAATGTCCATGATTAGGAATGGATATTTAACCAAGGAGCTTGGGGTTGAAGGCTATTTTGTTTATAAAGCTGTCATTACTCATCTGGGAAATTTTCTCTCCTTCCCAACCAGACCAGCTCTCTCAACTGGACTATACCCTAAACATTTTACACAAATCACTGTATGTTGCATACTCCAACAGACTTAGACTTTTTTTTTTTTTTTTATGCTAGGGATCAAACTCGGCCTCATGCATGCTGGGAAAAAACTCTACTACTGAGCCACATCCTCAGCCCAACTTTGAGGGACTTTGCATGTTGTTTATCCAGTGCAGAACCCCTAGAGGAGTCTCCCACTGTGCCCTGGCCTTGAGCAAAGGACTCCAGAGGCTCCTTGAAATCCTAGAAATGCAACATCTTTCTGATTTCCTGCTTTCTCCAGGCAGCACTGAATTTCCTCTTTGAGGATGACAGGCTGCATTTCTAAATCTTGAGCCAGAGTGGGCTCTCAGGGCTTGCTTGGGATCCATTCACTTCTGGGCCTGGCCAGCTCCTATCCTCTGTGCCCAGTGCTCTGGGCAGGGTCTCCCTCCAAAGGCAGTTGAGTCCTTCTACCTGGGAAGCTGGGTGAATACCGGGTCCTGAGGTCCTGGGGTGCTGCAAGCCATGGTCACAGCAAGCTTCCACAGGTGATTTGAATACACAGTAGTGTTTGAGGAATCAAAAGGAAGCTGAGAGGCAGAAATGAAGCTCTTTAGGCTGGGCTCTTGATAGATTTTAGATCGGAAAGGGCTCAGGAGCCTTAAGATGTGAGGGTCTAACACTGTATTTGAAGGTGTGTGGTGACAGCCTGAAGACATAACTGAAAAAGGCAGTGAATAAAAACACCACATACAGGGGCTGGGGATTTAGCTCAGTGGCATAAGCGCCTGCCTTGCAAGTAGGCAGTCGTGAGTTTGATCCCTGGTACCGATAAAAACAAAAAGACAAACAAATAAAAAAAAAAACACCACATACCTTTAACTGGAGATTCATTTGGGTTATGAACAACTTTTAAGATGTAAGATGAGGCACACACATTGTAATCACAGCATTTGGGAGGCCAAGGCAGGAAGATTGCTGTAAATTTGAAGCCAGCTTCAAGTACATAGTGAGTTCAAGGCCAGGCTGAACTACATAGGGAGACCTTGTCTCAAGGGGGGGGGGGATAAAAAAAGCCCTGCATGGTGCACATGCTTGTCATCCTAGCATTTAGAAGGTTGAGTCCGGACTGCTGAGTTTGAGTCCAGCCTGGTCTACACAGTGAGAGACTATATTTATTTATGAACAGAAGTGTTTTCTGTCCAGTGTTTGGCTGAGAGTTGAGGCTAGCACTGTGTGATTTAGCAGTGATGCCATAGTTGATTTCAGAAAGTTGGGAAAAGAGTCATTTGAGCCTGTATACTTTCCAAATCTCAGTGGGAAGAAGGCTGAGTGTGGTTAAGTGCCTGCATGGGAGGTTGGAGCCTGGAAGTCTTATCCAAAGTGGCACAGACAGGGCTGTTGGGCGATGGTGATTTGAAGAGAGGGTGGGGGATGAGGGTTGAGGTGGGTGTCAGGTGTGTGGGGGTCACACATTAGGAATATGACTGATCCGTTGTGGTTTTAGCCCAGTGCTCCGTTCCTTGGCTCGACTGAAGCCCGCTATGCCCCTGGTGGATGGACTGCAAAGGGCTGTGCAGGAGTGGGACCGCACCAGCAACTATGACCGCATGGTGTTCTGTGAGATGGCAGAGAAGTGAGTGTCACTGATTCCCTCACTGGTCCCAGGAGGGGCTATGCAGCTGAGGGAGGTAGAGGCATGAAAAGGTGTGTGGGTGTTTATCAAAGGGGGGTCAGGAATATAGACTCCCTTGGATCCTTGCTTTCTTCTACTACCTTGACACTGGTGTTTTAAATCCCATAGACCCCCTACTTTTTTGTTGTTATCTGGGATCAAACACACAACCTCACACTTGCCAGGCAGGTGCTTATATCACTGAGCTAAATCCCTGGCTAGAGCCCCTCTTGTAAGCTTTCCCACCTCCAGAGGTGGAATCTGTATGGGATCTTCCTATTGAAGCTCTTAGGATGAGCCCAGAGCCTAATTCCTGTAACAGTTCTCTGCCAAAGGCACCTGGCAGTGAAGAAGCCCTACAAGGCAGGTATTTTCCTCAGTGAGCAGGTAGTAAGTAGCTATTAAAATCTCAGTATTCTGTTTTCCTCCTCATCCCTGGGAGGGACTGTTTCTGAGAGATTGGTCAGCAGAAGCCGAGTGTTCTCCTGGCTCTCATACGCCATTTCTCTGGGATCTACTTAGCTAAAAAAAAAAAAAAAAAAAAAAAAAAAAAATTAACTCTGACCAGGCATGGTGGCACAGTCCTGTAATTCCAGTTACTCTGGAGAATGAGGTAGGAACATTGCTTGAGCCCAGGAGCTTGATACCAGCCTCATTAATACAGGATTTCATCTCAAACAAAACCTTCCCAAAACAAACAAATTCTGAAGAAATGAACCCTTTCCTCCAAGCTTAGCCTTTTTTCCCCTAAAGTCTTCTGGGCACCTGCCCCTTAACATTTATCCTTCCAGGGCCCTAGTCCCAGCCTCAGGCTAGCAGAGCCTGCTGGTGGGCTCTGCTTCAGGAATCCTGCCATTCTTTTTTTTTTGTCTTTTTCCTTTTTATCGGTACCAGGGATTGAACTCATGACTGCCTGCTTCCAAGGCAGGCGCTTATGCTGCTGAGCTAAACCTTCAGCCCCAATCCTGCCATTCTTCATGGTGTAGACTTGTGTGATGAGGTCTTGAAGAGGGACCACTGTGGCATCTTGTCAGGCTGTAATTCCTTCAAGCCTGTACTCAGTACTGCTGCCTTCAATCAATGAGGCTGTGTGAGCTAGGTTTGGAAAAGAAGTAAAGGCTATGGCTCTGTCCTGGACACGTTTGATTATTTCCCTAACAGGCTTCCTGAGTGACCACTGTAGGAGAAGGGATGTAGTGAATGTGTGAATTTTCCCTAGAACTGTGCTGTGAGCAGCTTCCTCCTGGAGACTGACTAAGATGAGCCCTTCCCTTCTTGTCCATGCTTGGCCACTGCCGGGCATCTGAGTTTCCGACAGGCTGTGTTGACTTACTTCCTGTCTGCAGGTTCATGGAGTTTGAGGTGGAGGAGCTGCAGATACAGAAAACACAGCTGATGAATAACTCCCAGGGCCTGTCTCCTGCAGCCCCTTTAAAACCTGATCCCTCAGGACTCCTGGCCCCAGAGGTTTGCCAGCAGCCAGGTAAGGCTGCCCATTTCTAACAGGAGAAATGGGCGTCGCTGAAAGGGAGTCACAGGAATACCAGGCTGCGGTTAGGGAAAGCATGCCTTTGCTTCTGCCACTTGCAGAGGTGGCATTTATGTTCCAAGGAATGCCCAATGGAAGGTGGGATCTTAGGTTCTCTTTGTCTTGAACTGGCTGTTGCTCTTGGCAAAGTAAACTTTTTTTTTTTGTACTAGGATAGAACTCACAACCTTGCACTTGCCAGGCAGGCACTTGTGCCACTGAGCTAAACCCCCAGCCCCAAAGTACACTATCCTTTCATGTAGATGTAAATGAGGCTCATAATATCTCATGTGCCTAAGAGGTGGAAATTGGATCAGGGAGTTCCTTTGAATTTCGCTCATTAACCCCCCCTGCCCAGTATGAAATCTTCTGTGGCTGATATTTTGTAGGATGTCTTGATTCAGCCTGGACCCATTTCACTGTATCCAGGTTGCTTCCCTTACCAAGATTGGGAGGTAAAGGCCAATGCCCCTGTGCCACTTCCCTTCCCCTTTTTACCTCTTCCCCTAGTGTACATTCTGAAGAAGGCAGGCCCCAAGACACGGGCTCCCCGCCACAGGCAGCGCAAAGCCCAGAAGCCTCAAGTTCCGCAGGCCCCCAAGGAGATCCCACCAGAAGCTGTGGAGGAGTACATTAACATCATGGAAGGGCTGGTGGGGGGTCATGTGGCTTCCGGGGAGTCAGATGGAGAAGACGAAGAGAAGAAGCAGGAACATGAAGAGCTGTATCCAGACCTGAGTCTCCTGAGCTACATGGAGGAGCTGTGTTCTGAGGAAGCCTTTGTTGCCAAGGTGGGCTGGGCCTGCATGGCTGCCTTCTGGCGGATTCTGGGGGTGGACACACTGGGACACCAACCGTATGTTCTGCCCCAGGTAGTAGGAAGTAGCTGTGTTCTGTTAACTGAGAAATGGGTGTGCATGCATGCATACAGGTAGCTGGTGGCAGTCATGGTTTCTAATGAACCCTGGGGTAGGAGTTGGGGTGAAGGGAGTCATGGCTTCGTGCCTAGACCTCCTCAGAGTCCTCCTGGGGACTTAAATCACATAGCCTCTGTTCTCCAGGTGGAGGCTGTCATCCACCCTCAATTTCTGGCTGATCTGCTGTCTCCAGAACGAGAGAGGAATCCTTTGGCCTTAATTGAGGAGTTAGAACAAGAAGAAGGACTCACTTTTGCCCAGGTAAACTTGGGAAGCAGGACTATCAGAAGCAGCAGCTTACATGACTCTGTCTAACCATACACTGTCTTGGATGATGTGATACTAAAGAGAAACAGCTTCAGGACTGAGTTTCAGGTGTAGGAAAGTAGGTAAGGGACTACAGAACAGGAAGTGAGGCACCAGAAGGTGGGAAGAAAGTAGTGTTTGATGCCATCACTTCAGCCACTCACTTTCCTGCACTGCCCCCCCCCCATCCTTAGCTCCCATTTTGCAGTCTCTTCTTACAGCCGCGTGTACATGGGTGTTTGTCCATTCTCTTCTAGCTGATCCAGAAGCGACTTGTGGCCTTGGAAGAGGAGGATGCGGAGGGGCCTCCAGGTTGCAGCGAAGCTCAGTTGGACTCAAGTCCTTCTGTTTCTGATGATGAAGATGGTGGGTGTGGGTGGCCTCAGCCCTCATCTGGGCCTCAGGGAGCTGGGGCAACTATTGGCCTTGAAAAGGCTGCTTCTTTAGGAAAGCAGGCAAGAGAGACTCATAGCAGGCAAGGGCACGCCCTAGATGGTCCATGGGGCGTATGCAGGGATGGGAATGTTCTCTCATCCTCCAGCAGCTGGGACCTGCAGGAAGAGATGGTGGCTCCACAGGAAATTCAGGGATCCCTGTGTATGGAGATGATGGGGTCAGGGGAGGTTGTAAGTGAGCTATCTCAGTATCAGGATAGCCTCCTGGAATGTGCCAGGTCCCCTGCGCACTACTTGGTGGCTGACGGTGCTCCAGAGGCTTTGCCCCTTTGCTGGCAAGAAAGCCCACAGCTCAAGACAGCTGCTCCCAGGTTGGATGCTGAACTTGCAGAGCCAGCTTCTCTGCAAGGTCAGGGTTTGGGAAAGCCTGACCTGGGGTGGCAGGTAGGGCATGAGGCAGAGGAATTTGGAGTGCTTCCTCAGAGAATGGAGCCTTTAGTGGTAGCCCAGAAAGGCTCTGCAGAGGCCATGTGGGGAGTGGAGAGAAGTCTTTCCATGGTGCATAGTTATGATCAGAACCCTTCCCCTGGAACAGCTGGGGACAGGGACAGGGCCTCACTCAGCCCAGGACTCTGGCTGAGCAGTGAGATGGATGCTGTAGGTTTGCCATTGCCCTTAGAAATCGAAGATGTCATAGAGAGCTTCCAAGATGGAAAGTTCCTAACTGAGCACCAGGCATTGGGCTCCACAAACACCCTTTCTCTGGGTTCTGGAGAGACCACAGTGCCTGGGGACCTTGGGAACAGTGTGGTTGCCTGCGGAAGCACAGATGTCCCAGCTGCCCTAGCAAAAAGAAACTATTGCAGTTTGGAAGGACCTCTGAGGGCCAATAGCCCAGCCTTTGGGTGTAAGGGAAATAGAGAACAGAGCCTTGAAGTCATACAAGATCCCAATAATGTGTGGGTTGGAGGTTGCTCCTTACTGCTGGAAGGTAGCACTGGCGCCTCTGTATCAACTTTGGGGTCTTCTGAAGAGAACTTGCTGCCCACGTGCCAAGGCAGTCTTCTTATTCTGGGGACTCAGGATGACTCATTCCTTGAGGCCAGCCAAGACACAGGAAACAGAGGCAATCCTTTTTCTTTTCCATTAGAAACCACAGAACAAGTCAACATACTGGATGTTAGAGATGACTATGGCCTCCAACTCGGGGTCATTGACGATACCTGCCCACCAATGCTTGCTTATGATCCCCAAGAGGGCAGGGAAGACAATAGTTTGTCTAAGCCTAACCACCTTGTTCCTATACAAGGTAATCAAGTGTCTTACACACTTGGGGCCCCCAAAGCAACATCTCACCAGGGCTTTGGAAGTACTTCCTCTAGATGGGGAACCAAGGATGCTTTAATTCTAAGAGAATCCTCTCGTAAGAGTAAAACACACAGCTCTGCAGATGGGGCCAAAAGAAGGCACAAAGCTGAAGAGGAAGGGGAGGATGAACAACTCTCCAACTTTACTTACCTCTTGGCCTCAAAACTTAGCTTATCTCCCAGAGGACTTCCTCTTGGTCCTCACTGTGCCTTGGGAGGTGGGGGCATCCAGAGAGCACCCAACACCTCTGCTGATGCAAGAGGCCTTTGCCAACCTCCACACGCTGCCACCAAGTCTGGGAAGCAAGTTCTAGCTAGAGGTTCAGCCTCTGCTGAAAAGACATCTCAGGCAGGTCATCTTGGAGTCTCTGGGGAAAAACCAGTGGTCCAGGGAGTGGTGTCATCCTCACAGTCTTACAAAAGGCGACGTGACACTTCTGTGGCAAGCAGGAGGAAGAAACGTCGTCGTAGCCAGTAGGAAGAGCGAGTATCCCATCCCACCTGCCAGTCCCCAGAAGTGGGTGTCCTAGCATAGACCATGACTGCTCACTGGTGTAGAATCAGCCTCAGGCCAATGCTATGGTTTTGGGTGTGGGATGGGAGGTCTGGCTGGCTAGGTTGCAGGGCCCCTTAGTGGGAAATGAGGGGAAGGAGCTTTGCAAAGAGTTGTATGAAAAAAAAAAAATAAATGTTTATTTGGTTGTTGAAAAACGCCCTAGATATGTGCTTCTGTTTGTGTCTATGCTGCTACATAGGGCAAAGTGCTATAACAGTAGGTAGGGGTAGTTCAATTGTACTGGTTCAGATACTCTAACCTGTCTCCAGCCTCATCTTAGCTCCATGCATTTTCTTGGTAACAGACTGACTTTCAGGCTGCGATTGGTCCCCAAACAAATTTCCAATGATCAGCATTCTCATTTGCTCTTCATAGGTGCGGACTTGGCGTTGGGAGGGCTCATCTGGACATCTATATTACCATCTGCCTCCCTTTTTCCCTGTCACATCTGTACAAGAGAGATCTAATTCCTAAGATCTAATTAACTTCTGTATTTGTCTAGACACAGTACATTACTGGGCCTTGTTTTCTTCCCTGAGGTTGGACAGAAAGGGCTTAGCTCATCCTGTGGGGAGAAAACCTTCCTGGGTGGTTAGTCTGATCCGCTGGGGTAAAGGTCACTTCCTTACTGACAGAGCTCTCAGCGCCCACAATCAGCAGTGAAATCAAGTCTCGGTAGGAGTATTAAATGCGAAATGGTAATAAGCTATTTTAACATCTCTAATGAGGCCAGAACAAGAGGGAATGGGCTGAAAAAGAGGTTCATGAGGAAGCTCATTAAAATGTGCACATTTTGGAGACAATAACAGAAGGGTGATGTGAAATCTGTGTACTTTCAGTATAGGACAGAGCCTTGTCCATCTGGAAAAGAGCCCCTATATTATGGCCAAGGTGGCTGACCTCTGGCATCTTATGAATCTTCCAGTGGGCACTCTGGAAATGTTCATCCTTTCCCTTCCCAACTAATGAAACCAGTAATGTAACTGCGCTTCATTTTTTTTTTAATACAGATATAGATTTATATTTATATATAAAATAGTTTCTTACAAAAAAAAACCCAAACAAACAAATCAACTTAAAAAAACAAATAATGACAACAAAAACAAACAAGAGCAAAAATGGGGTTGAGGCCTAGGGTGGGCTCCCGGCGCTGCCCTGAGTTGTGGGGCTGGATTCGAGCTGAGGTGGAAGGAGCAGGAGGCTGAGGTGCTCAGTCGCCCTTCTGCTTGGGTGCCTGCACAGTCCCGTTGGCCAGAGCAGGGGGGCTGCGTGGGGAGGCACCTGGCACGGGGCAGGTGCCTCGAGCGGTGTGTGGGGGGTGCAGGTAGGTGCTGAAGAGCTTCCCATAGAGCGGGTCGTGGAGGGAGAAGTTCTGGAACTGACCTGGGCAAGTAAGAGGGAGATGCAGAAAGTAAAAAGGGCCAACAGTGAGAAAAGGAAGCCCCTGCTCTTTTCCATTTACCCTCTCAGATTTGGTCTGTCTTTTCCCTTTCCAGCCAGCTCCTCCCAGCCGTGCTTCCCAAAAGTTCTCATGCCCCCACCCTCACCCCTGACCCTTGCTGTCTCTGCCCAATGCTTGCTTGCTTTTTTTTTTTTTTAATCTTTTTATCGGTACCAGGGATCAAACTCACAACCGCCTGCTTGCAAGGCAGGTGCTTATACCGCTGAGCTAAATCCCCAGCAGTGCTTTCTTTTTCACACTCCTGGCACTACACCCGCTCAGTGCCTGTGCAGGGCCCAGCAGGGGTGACTCACAGAGGGAGAGGCCATGGCTGGCTCCTGCCTGGCACAGCTCAGCATGCAGAGTTGTGGCAGCAGGGCGGGGCGAGCCCAGCAGCAGGTGCAGGATGGTGCTGAAGCCATCTTCGTACAACAGCCGGCCAGGTCCCTCTGTCTGCTCTTCAGCAAAGAGCTTTGGAAGAGAGGGACGCGAATTAATCTCTCCTCAGGTCACTGCCTCGCCCTGCCCCACAGCTCTGCCTCAGGGCTCCTCCCTTCAGAAAGGCAGCACACCTTCTGCACAACTATAATCGTACAGCTGCCCTCTTGTTCTCAGCTACAGGATGACATACACACTGAGTTCTGCAGTTTCAGGAAGCAAGACACCAGACAGGACAAGCACTGGCTATCAAGAAATTACTGAGAACAATGCACTGTACAGCCTTCCTGAAGTGGTAAGCAGCTACCAGGAAATCCCCTCATTCACACTTCCCAGGTACCTCAAAGGCCAGGCGAGTCAGATCCTCCAGGCTCCTGCCTCCATCCAAAGCTGCTAGCGCGAGTGCCACATCTCGGAAGTCCACCAAACCGCTGGCATCCTGGAGGGTCAAAGAGAAACCAGGGCAATGCTGGAACCTACATCCTCTCTCTTGCTCTCTGCAGTTTGGCTTCCTCCTCTCCTCAGGAAGCATGAGGATGTCTTCAGATCTCAGCTCTGAACTCTGCAAGATCCCTAGCAGGCATGGGCTTGCCAGACCAAGCTGTGTCAAGTCACCAGCGACAAAGCTCTCCTATAAAGAGATCTAGGAATGTCAGGGAATCTTCAGACATGCCGAAGTCACCAGAACACTGGAGGACATTTCTGGCCCCCAAGCTAGACAAACTGGTTCTCTTCTCTGACTCCATGTGCAAGAACTAGTCCGACAGAATTAAAGGGGGTTGCTGGTCTAATTTTTTACCAGCAGGATGCCTGTGCCAGTCGACCATGTAGGCTGAGTTAGGAAGCTCCTTTCCAGGACAGTTAGCTGCCAATTCATGGAATCCATTCTTCAGAGAATGTTGAGAGCCACAGCCTATGCCTTTGATCAAAAAGATCTCCTAGTGGGCTGGGGATGTAGCTAGTGGCAGAGCACTTGCCTAGCATATGTGAGGCCCTGGGCTTGATCCCAGTACTATGAACAAAACTAAAACCAAAACCAAAACTAAAAAAACATTTCTTTCGGACCACCATTTGCTATTCTAACATTAGGAAGGGGACTGAACTCAGGACCTCGGCCTGGCAGGAACTTATGCCGCTCGGCTAAATCCCCAGCCAATATTAAGAATCTTCTAAACCGAAGTGGGAGAACTGCTGTAAACTCGAGGCCAGCCTGGACTTACATAGTGACTTTAGGTTGGCCTGGCCTATGCAGCAAGACCCTGTTTCAAACAAAACAAGACAAACAATATATACGTGTGACAGGAAAACACGGTTCTAGCCCAGAAAACAGTCTGCTGAGATTACAGATATCCCTCATTAATTCACCAGGTATTTTAAAAAGCTGCCCAAGCTTTGCAAATACTTCTGGGTCTAAATTCGCTATCTTACCAGTCCAGCAGTGTCATCTCTATGTTATCCCCCCACCTAATTTTTAAGACTCTTCTCAAAGATCCTCCTCGAGTGCCCATATAGTCATGATTCTCCATCTTTGCTGATCTCTAAAAGGGTTCCAGAAATGGAAGAACCTCGCTGATGATTTCTCCCTTAAAACTGCATTCTTCGACGCACTGGATATGCAACAAAACTGAACTTTCTAGTGGGCAGTCGTCTGTCAACAGTGGTTGAAATAATCAGGAGACAGTCATCTGTCAACAGTGGTTGAAATAATCAGGTCAGATTCCCACAAGGACATCCAGTGAGATGGACATGGTCACCAGGACACTGTCCTCCAGACTGAAGCATGTCCACTTGGAGATCAAGCTCTGGGCTCTGCCAGCTGTGTTCTCCCTTTACCTGCTGGAAGTAGCTGAAGGCACCAGCCACCGTCTGAGGATCCAAGAGCTGTAGCTGCCTGGCAAACTCCTCCTGGCTGATCATTCGACTCCGGCCTGGCTCTGCCTCAGCATCCACACAGCCAGGTGACAAGCTAAAATGAAATTAGGGATGGCAGGGAACTGTTTCTTTCTAGACATATCATGCAGCAGGACTTTGGTCTCAGCACCAGACATTATTCCAATAGAAGTACTGCTGCTGGCTTAGAATTTTTTTTTTCCTTTTTTTGGTAGTTCTGGGGATTAAATCCAGGGCCCTGTGCATGCTAAACCAGTGCCACACCACTGAACTACACCCCCAGTCCCTCAGTTACTGTCTAAGATGTACTGACTCATAGTCTCAAGGCCTTTTTTTCCCCCTCTTTGAGAGACAGGGTCCCACTATGCAATTCAGGCCAGCCTTGAACTCACTATGTAGCTGAGTCTAGCCTTGAACTTGCAGTGATCTTCCTGTCTTGGCCTCTGAGTGCTGGGATCACAGTTAGGCGCCACCACACCCAGCTTTTGAGAAAGCTTTTCACTGTTTTCATCTGCATTACCTACTCTTCTGCTTCTTTTTCCCTTTCCTTTACTCTTTTCTAAGCGCCCCGTTTTTGTTTTTTTTTTTTTGCTTTTCAATACTCTCGTTTCTCCCCTTGTTTTTCTGTTAGTGTTACTGCTTGAACTCTCATCTTCAGTGCTACTTACCCTGCCTTCTGAAGCACCTTTCCTAGCTCCCAGAGCTGTGGCTCCAAAGCTACCTTCAGCCGGCCAACCACAATGACAGGCAAGCTGCCCACAAACTCACACTCAGTGGCTGGAATGCCCAGGGCCCTGTGGACAGAGCGGTAGGGGAAGGAAGCAGAAGAAAGTCTGAGGGGTCATGACACACTATAGCTCTTTTTTTTTTTGAGACAACCTTGCCATGTAGTTCAGTCTGGTGTTACACTCACTATGTAGCCCACAGGGACCTCAAACTCGTGGCAATCCTCCTGAGTGTTGGGAGGCAATCCTCCCAACACTCAGCCTCCGGAGTGTTGGGATTACAGGCCTGTGCCACCATCCCTGGCCCTGTCAGCCTTCTTAGCTGCCTCAAAGCCTCACCCCTCCACCCACTCCCTGTGGTTCCTGTGCCTTGTGAGTCTATTCCAGGAAGCACTGTGGAACACTCACTGTGCCATGACCCGCTGGACATTGTTGGCATACAGGGTGGGGTCTCTGCTCTCCTCAGGGCTAGGCTGATACACGGGGAGGAACTGAAACACAGGTACACGCAATGCTTAGTGGGACCTTTGGGTGAGAAGTGGCTCCTGCCACTCCTTCCTAAAGGCTTTGGAGGGCTGTGATGTCCACCTCCCACCCGACCCTCGCAGTGATACCTCCACATCCACAATGCTGCAGGGCTGAGAAGCTGTGAGCCACAGCACTTTGAGCCTAAGAGAAAGAGACCTTGATGTTCATGAGCTTTCCTCTTACCCTGAGGAGCGAAGGGAAGGCTGCCCAGAGACACACAAATACACTCCTAGCCAGCCAGCTGTGGGAAGGTGCAGCTGAGAGACTGAGGGACGTAGGGGCTGAAGATCAGACCACAGGAAGAACTGCAGGGGAGATTTGGGAAGTAAAGGGAGAAGCCAAGTGCATGCCTGCTGGGATGGCTCTCCAGAGGGGACAGAGGAGGCAGAAAATTACTTAGAAACACAAGAAAATAAGCAAGAAAGAGCTGTTATGGCAGCAGGAATCATTCAGGTGAGACAGGTGGAAGCATGGCCAGATTACACAGAAGGAAACAGGCATCTCCTTCACTGAAGTTCTGGGTCCCAGAATAAAGAAGGGCATTCTCTTCAACTGTAGAACGTGATGGCATGGAATTCTCTGATGGATCCCACTACCCAACCCACCCCAAGAATAACCCAACTCACACTCCAGGGCCCCTCCATGCCCAGCTGGTGGTATCCTGTGGGTGAGGCAGAAATAGGGGACAGAGAAAAACATTATTTTTCTTTGCAGGAACTGGCCAATCCTCTTTGAGCAGAGGCCCTGACCCCACCTCCTGTTCCACCCCCAGATGCATGGCTCAGAGCCCCTCCCCCACCTCATTTTACTTCTGCTTAGGATGGACTCATGCTTCCCCTTCAACCCTTTCTTGGACTTACCAGACTATTGGGGTAGCGGATGAGGACAGGCTGCACAGGCACCCCTGCAATGAAGGCTCCTAGAACCCATTTCCACCCCCACCCCGGGGGGGCACAGGTTAGCACATATAGGCAGCTTGCTAAGGTAAGGGGTGTGGGACTTTCTCAGATGAGCTGACCTTGCTCTACCCATTTCTGATTTTCTGACTTATTTTGTTAGCATGAACTAGGTTCCCTGCCTCTTCTTCCACCATACCCCCAACCCTTCTACTTCATGGGTTATTCGTCCCCAAATCTCCTTGAGTTATTTCTCCCTAAAACTGGGGCCCATCTTTTCCCACTTCACCACCCTCTATCATTCTGTTCACCTGGTTTGAATTTAAGCAGAGCCTTCTTGTTAGAACAGGTGCCTTCGGGAAAGAATAGTACCTGGGGGAAAATGAATGAGAAACCAGAATGAGACAGGGGTGAGGTGGGGGAGGAAGGGAAGTGTCACAGAAGTGAACAGGTGAGGTGAGTTGAGGGGCTTTTTGACTCTTCCTTACCTGGGGCCACTTGCCTCCCGAGGTGGCCCTCCTCCGGACCTCCTCCACCACTCTTCGACGGGAAGCTGGGTCATGCCGGGACACCAAGATGGCTTGGTTGAATCGAAGAAGGGCTGGGGTTGGAAAGGATATAGGGAGTTATTGGTTCCTACCCAGGTGCGTGAGTTAAGATCTGCCACTTCCCAACAACATGAGACACAGCATTTTTCGGTGATTCCCCTGCCCTGACGACAGTCTCTTCATTGCACCTGTCCTTTCGGAGAGCTGATGAGGTCCCCCTTCTCCATGCCCCAGCATTCTGAGTCTGAGATCAGTTGACTTGGGTGTTAACTTACCTTTCATCTGCCAAGAGTCAACACCCTTGTAAGTTCTTCCATACCACCTGAAGCCAGTTCTTTCAGGTATCAGTATTTCAATTCCCTTTTTCTAAGCTGTCATGACCCCTCTATCACCAACCTTGTTCAACTCTCTCACCTCCAATGACGGGCACAGAAAGGTTCTCGGCTCGGGAGACAACCTTGGGAAGGTCACAGGGCAGCAGAACAATGGGGTCGAAGAAAGTAGAGTGGGGGGCAGCAACGAGGACAGGAGCCTGAAGGCGAGAGGCCCGCTGGCCACGAACACGGATCCGGAGGAAGCCCAGCAGGAAAAAGAGCAGGCGGCTCAGGCTCAGCACCCCATTGTGGCACACAGTCCTGCCAGGGCAAGATCAGTGATCAGTGGAGGCAGCAGCTGACCCTCACCCACCCCTGCTCAGGCACCAGGGAGGGACAGCACATCCCTCTTTCTGCCTCAAATGCATTGGACACAGGGCTGAAGTTATGACATAACCTCCGGGTACCAGATCTGGGTCAGGCTAACACAGTTCATCTAGCCGGGCTCAGCAGGATAGTTTCTGAAACCTCTCTTCCTCTCTGTGTAGCACAATAGTCAGCAGGAGGAGAAGCGGGGTCTCCAAGGCTGACTTGCCACTTACTTCCTCCATCCTGTAATTGGTTCCTGAAGTTGCTCCTCAGTAAGACCTGCGACTTGTAGCCAGGCAAAGGGCCAGAGGAGAAAGAGGATGACAAAGGCCAGAAGCACTCGGATGGGGGCCAGCAGTATCCCCAGGAAGCAGAACTGCAGAAGGTGGGAGAAAATATCACTTAAGTCTGGGAGATGCTCATTCCACAGCAACCTTTCTTTCTCAAGAATGAACCGTGGAGCACAGCCATTACTCTCAGCAGGTGACAGGCAGTATGGGAACAGAAGGGACTGGGATTCAAGTGGGACTGAAAACAGCATCGAGGGCAAGAGAATAAAGATTAATAGCACCAAGCGCCTCATTGTCCCGTCTTTGATTGGCTCCCACACTGCCTATAAAGCTGAATGTCATAACATGCATCTAGCATTTGGAAAGGTTGTTAATAGAATTTAATTAGAAAACGCATGTTAACATGCCCAGCACTGTGCTTGACGTAAAGTAGGCTGAGACAGGGTCCTCCTCCCCCACATCCCATTCCATAAATAGCTCTTAAACCAGGCAGATGCCAGGTGCGTAGCTCTCCCCACCCTGGGCTGGGAGACAGAGGGCTGTAAACATTAAAGATGTCCACTTTTCAGGCCTTGGGTCAGCAGTGGGGAGGAGAAGCTCAGCGGTACTCCTCTGCACCATAGAGGTTGCCAGGAGTCAGGGTGACTCTATACTCAGGCCGCTCTAGAGATTGAGCAGGTAAACAGATCTAGCCCCAGGAGCCTGCCTCAGGGGAGCCGGTAACAGCAGGAATCTTGCACTCTTCCTCCCTAAGCCACCATCCACCTTCTTTCCCCCAGGCTGCCGGTGTGTCGCCCTTCACTTCCTGTAGCCTACTCCTCTCCAGCCCTCCTCCCCTACCCGGAGGTGCTGCAATGCAGGGGCGGGGGTGCGAGGGGGTGCTGGAAAGGCAAAGGGACGCAGACGCGTTCTCAAAGTCAGAGTCGGGAGGTCACTAGCGCGCCCCAGCCTGCCACCCTGGCTTCGCGCAGCTTACACCTCCATCCTAGCCCCGCAGCCTCCACAGGATGCAATCCGCATTCTCCACCGTCCTCCATCTGTCCTGCCCTGGGTCCCCCGCACATCCTCAGCTTCGCCTCCTCCATTCCTCGCCCCCGCAGGCTCGCGTCTCTCTAGGGCTTCTCGGCCGCCCCCACGTGCGCACCCCCAGCTCCGCCAGCCTCTCCGTGGCGTCTTCCCGGGTCCCCGTGCCCATCTCTTTCAGGGCTCCCCACGGCCCCACCTGCCCTACCCCCACGCCCTCTCGGCGTCCCTGCCCACACCTCACCTTCACCCGCTGGAGGCGGGAGAGATGTAACTCGTGCACGAAGGGGTTGGGGAGCGCCGGGGTTCCGAGGGCGGGCTCGCGGGGGGCCGAGTCCCCCGGGCCGCCCTGGCGCATGGCGGGAGGCGGCGGCGGCGGCAGCAGGGCCCTGGCCCCCGCCCCGGACCGGCGGTGCGGAGCAGCGGCTGCTGGAGCGGCGGCGGCTGCAACGCTCTGGCCCTCCCCGCCGGGTGCCGGCCGCCGGAGGGCGGGGAGCGGGCGGCGCGGCCGGGCCGCTCGCGTTGTCAGGGCGCCGGCCTGGAGGCGGGGCTTGTGGCGCTCCGGCGCCCCCGCGCAGGCCAGGTCTCCGCAGCCTTCGGGGCCATTGTGCCGCGGCGGCCGGGGGCTGGGGTGCGGCGCCGGCCCGCGGGTGCCCCGGGCCTCGGTCGTGCGGTCGCCGCTCTCGGAGGACCTAGCTGCCGCCGCGGGCCGGTGCCGACGTGGGGACGCGAGGTGGGCGCGCGGCAACTGCGAGCGTCCTCCACGCACGCGGGCGCGAGGTCAGCCGCAGCGCAGGTCGGGGCGGGGCCCTCCGCAGCCGAGTAGAGAGGGGTGGGGGCGCGGGGCGCGCATCTCCCCGCGAGGCGGGGCTGCCCGAGCTTCCACGCCGCCGGCCCGCCCGAGGACCACCTTTCCTCCCCTGCAGGGCATCCTCGCGCGCGCGTCCGAGGCGCCGCACCCCCTGGTGGCTGCGCTGCGCCTCACACCGCCCCTTCCTGTTTCTGGAATCAGTCACGCGGAGCCCCAAATTATCCTAGAAAACAAAAATGTTCAGCGTCCAGTTGTCAGTCTATGTTGGGATCAGGTATCAGGATTTGAAATCCGTGGCCAGTAATACAGTCTAACACACAGGACAAAAATGGAGTGAGTCTTTGCTCGTGAGCTGCCTTCAATTCACCTAGTCTAACTTCTACCTACTGAATGGCAGAAGCCAAATGGGAAATGAAGAGAGTGATGGAAAAATAAAAACTTCCCAGAACTGAAGGTATTTCTCTAGCTTTGGGGAGGAAGGAATTTTAAGGAGTAAGGTAAAGCTTTTGAGTTTGAGGAACAGGAAAAGGAGACCCTTTGTAAGGGCCTGAATTACATTTATTTATTTACTTATTTTCTTTTTGAGACCAGGTCTCATTAGGCAGTGCAGGCTGGCTTTGAGCTCACTTCGTAGCCCAGGCTGATCTTGAACTCACAAAGATCTTCCTGCCTCAACCTCCCGAGTGCTGGAGTTACAGGCATCGCCACCACGCCCGGTAAGGGTCTGAATTTTAGTGATTAAGTATTTGCCAGTGTTGGCCATCGAGGATGAGCTAAAAAGCTTGCTTTTGTGTGTCAGTCCCCAACCTACCCTGACTGTCCCAGCCTCTAGTCTGCTCACTAGCAGCAGCACTAGTGTCTGCAGGGAACTCAGCTCAGCACTGAGGCTGTCACTGGCACAGCAGGAAAGGACATAAGGTAGGACAAGCAGTGACTTTTACTAGAGATGTTCATCGGGAGCTTTCTGCCTAACATCCAGTCCTTATAAAAGGGACACCTTTCTCTTTGGAGCAGAAGGTCTTATCATGCTGTCTGCCTGAACCCAGCCACAGTAAATTCCGTGCCATGTTGCCTTCTGATGGTCTCTGCTGCTTATTTACTTTACATTGTGCAAGGCACCTGGAAACAGCCTCACTTCCCTTGCTTCTGGTTCTTAGTGGGCAAACTATTACTGTGGCCATTTGGTGTGTGAAGAGGCAACCCAAGTCAGGAACACACCTGAAAGAGTCACCCAGCAGGACCTGAGGAAGTTCCCAGAACATAGATAAGGAACCTAACCCCCTCCCCCATCAGAACACTTAAGCTTCTCTTAAAGGGATGGAAACCCCAGGGAGAGTTGAATCTCTATGTCACGTCCATCCCCGTTCTGGCCCATTTTACAGGTGTAAGCCACCCCTTTTGGTTTTTTTTAGACAGGCTCTTGCTAGGTAGTTCATGCTGGCCTTGAAGTCACATGTAGCCCAAACTGGCCTTGAACTCAAGGTGATCCTCCTGCCTAAGTCTCCCAAATGCTGGGATTATGAATTTGCATCACCATGCTTGGCTATTTTTTTTTTTTTTTTTTTTTTAGGTAGCCGGTTTAAGCATTCTTTGAATTCTCTCGACTTATGCCTTATTTATTTTTTAATTTTAAAGGGTGTTCCTTATTTCAGAATTAGATTCTTGCTGTTTACTTTCTTCTCTAAGCAAATTTATGGATTTATAGAATTGTCAAGGAATTTGGGATAAGACAGATTTGGAAGGAAAGGACCCTAAATTAATTAAAGAAATACTAATAGGGATAGTCTTCTTGTGTAATCTAGACTGGGTCTCAGAAGTTGTGGTCTTTTTAAAAGTACAGTGTTTAGCCCAGCCTGGTGATGCCTCCCTGTAATCGCAGCATTCAGGAGCCTGAGGCAGGAGAATTGCTATGAGTTCAAGGCCAGATGGAACTACATAGCAAGACCCTTTCTCAAAACCAAACAAAGTGTTTACTTCGGCAGCACTTATATAAAAAACAAATGAAAAAGCAGTTTTTAGTTACGATTTTCTTTGCCACTTTTGTACCATTGTTTCTTCTGTCCTACCTCAGACACCTAGGATTTACAGTATTGTTTTGAATTCATATGGGCTGGATGTTGGTGGCTGTTCTACGCAACTCACAAAGTGCTCCTTATTTTGAATGGGGCCTTAGATCTATCTGACAAGGTCAGGAGGGTGGGATCTTCATGATTAAAACAGTGCCCTCATAGGAGGAAGAAGAGAATGTTCTCTCTTTCCGTGGGTTCCCATGGAGAAAAAGGCCATGTGCGGACACATCAAGATAGCTCTCTGATAGCTGGGGGTGATATAACCGCAGAACTCAGAAGGCTGAGGCAGGAGGATCACTGTGAGTTCAAGACCAGCCTGGGCTACAAAGTGAGCTCGAGGTCAGCCTGAATGGCATAGTGAGACCCTGTCTCAAAAACACATTAAAAAAAAAAAAATGGCTCTCTGTAAACCTGGCAGAGGGAATTTACCAGATACTGAGCCTGTCAGCACCTGGATACTGGACTGCCTTCCTGTGCTGGACAACTGTGCAGAGGGATGTCTGTTCTGCAGACACCCGTCATGTAGGCCAGGCTGGTCTTGGTCTCAGTGATTCTCCTCCCCTAGCCTTCCAAATACTGAGACTGTAATCGTGCACCATTATGCCTCATTCAGTTTTTTAAAAGTTTTTAGGGAAAATTTCTTAGCTCTCTTTTAACTACATAAGCGAAAACAGGTTTGTATATTTCTGGTGTTTTCCAAAATAATTCCACAATTTTTTGTAATTTTATTTTCTTAAGACAGTTCACAAATGAATAGTTAAACATGATTAATTGTTTTTGTTTTTGATTTTTGAGACATAGTCTCTCTTTAATAGTTCAGACTGAGCTCACTGTGTAGTTTGGGCTGGTCTCAAAATTGCTGTAGTCCTCCTGCCTTTCAGCCTCCTTGAAGTGCTGGGATTACAGGCATGTGCCACTATGGCAAACAATTTAATTTTATGCTTTTAATATTGTAACAAATTAACCATTTGAGGAGGAGTTAGTAAATTTAAGACCTAAACCTATAATTATAATCATGTACATATTATGGTCAAGTTAAGTATTATTGGGGCAGGAGATTAGCGTGTAGCAAACTGATTGAGCATGGGGGTTGCTGGGATATGTTCAGAAAAATGGTTCCAATCAGAAAGTGCTACCTTAAACTCTCCTGAGAATTGAAGCAAGGTTTTGATAGGGTGGCCTTGATCTGATGTCATCCTGGGGGCTTGGGGAATACAAAAGACAGCTGCCATCAACATCACTTTTATAGATGGTGGCTTTCACGCTGTGGAGTGTACTTCTTTCCATGCTTTCAGTAACCCTGCACTCACTTTGCAGAGACTGTTTCTTTTCCTACCTTTAATAAATGTAAAACCTCTTTTTTTTTTTTTTTTTTTTAGACAGGGTTTTGCTCTGTAGTTCAGATTTACCCAGCACTGGGGAGGCTGAAGCAGGAGGATTGCTGAGTGTTTGAGGTCAGCCGGGGCTCCATGATGAATTTAAGGACAGCCTGAATACACAGTGAGACCCTGTCACAAAAAAACACAAAAAGAAACAACCTAGAAAGGATCCCTAGAAGGAGTCCCCAGCACCCTGAGAAAAGATAACCATATACAACTAACTTGCAACCACAAGCCAGCAGGTTTTAGCCCTTACTTCCAGTTTTGTGTGACCCACGGCAGCCCTCAGGCAGTCTGCCTGCCTGCTGTGGATTCCCCTCAATTCCACGTGACCCTTCCTCTTTGTTCCTCTTTGGCAGGTGGTTTTTTCGTTGGACATCTGACTGCAGAGAAACTTGTATTTGTGGTATTGTTTGAGAAGCAGAAAAAAGAAACATTATTTCTATCAAATTGAGAAGTAGGCATCAATATTTAAGGCAGTAACCCAAATAGTCCTGTAATTAACAGCACATAGAGGACAGATCACAGGTTAAGATGGCTTTGAATTAATAAGCAGACAGCGGGGCTGTTTTTAAGTGTAACAGTTTAAATAAATCTTTCCTAATTTTCTGCTAAGACATTCTGCAAAAGAGCCTACTACTATTGCTGATTGCCAAGGGACTTCCTGGCTTTTGCCTCTTGGCTCTGCTGCTTTCTAATTTATTCTGTCAGAGCTATGCTGTTGAGTTGGAGGTTTTATTTATATTGTCTTTTTTGTAGAGTAAGTCTTTGGAATTGGTAGTTGATAGCTGGACTTTATCTGCAGTGTTCTGTTCTCCTGACCTGCGATCAGCTGGGAATGAATGAGCCTGGGCATTCTGGCTAAAGTTTCCTCACACATGTCCCCCAGCCCCTTTTGTTTTGAGATAGGGCTTCTCTGTGTATTCTAGACTGGCCTTGAAAACAGGATGATCCTCCAGCCTCAGCGTCCTGAGTGGGTGATTATGGGCCACCACATCTGGAAAGTCCCCTCACTCTTAAGAGAATGCCTCTCAGCTGCATGTGGTGGTGCATACTTGTAATTCTAGCACTTGGGAGTCTGAGGCAGGAGGATCCTTGCAAGATCAAGACCAGCCTGGGCTACAAAGTGAGCTAAGGCCAGCCTGAACTGCATAGTCAGATTCTGTTTCAAAAAGACAAAAAAAAAAAAAAAAAAAAAAAGCCTCTCAAGTAACATTTCCTTTTCATCCTCTGAATGTTTATAAATGTGACTCTTAGGATTTCTTGAGCCATCTTGCAACTGCTCTGAGGACAAACTAACCCTCAGTAGATCAGTGAGAGACCAAAATGGCTGCACAGAGAATCTGGGCTTTTGATTACCAATTTAAACCTCTGAACAAACCATATCTTAGTCTGGTTGTATGGTAGTACAGATGCCATTGCCCCTTATGCTAGTGTTAAGGAACACGGTTATCCTTGACATTTGTTAGAGAAGCCATGGCACAGCATGATAACTCCACACCATAGGGGATTTATCATGTCATTCTAAGGTCTTGTAAGGCCATTCATTATTTTTTTGAGCCTGAGGAGTTGAAATTACATAAAATGTTGCATAGACCCTTTCTTATTTATTTACTTTTGTAAGTTTTTGTGTTCTGTTGTTTTTGGTTTTTTGATGCAGGGTCTCACTATGTAGCCCAGGGTGGCCTTGAGCTCATGGCAATCCTGCTTCAGCTGCTTGGGTGCTAGGTTCCTATCCTTTCTCTTTTTTACGTGGAAATTGATTTTAGGACAATATGAAGAAAAAGGAGATCAGCTTATTGGCCAAGATATATTGTTTTTTCTATGCTTTTTTTTGGTACTGGGAATCAAACTCAGAAACTTGCACTTGCTAGGCAGGTGTTTGTGCCACTGAGCTGTAGCCCTGGCCCTAGTATGTTTTGTGTACTTTGTGTGAAACTGAAACACCATATAAAATAACTACTGGGGATTCATTCTTTGTTCCTTCAGGTCATTACTAAAACATCAACAATCTCCTGAAGGAGGCAGCTATGGAGATGAAAGGCTGGACATGGTGGCCCATGTCTGTAATCTCAGCTACTGGGGTTCTGAATGGGGCAGGAGATGGCAAATTTGAGGTCAGCCTGGGCAACGTGGTGAGACCCTATCTTAAAAGAGAGAGAAAAAGAAAGTAAGAAAGAGAGGGAAAGACAGACAGGGCTGGGATGCCCTGGATATAGTTCAGCAATTCCTGGATTCAATGTCAGTATCACGTTGTGTGAGGGGTATGAAAAAAGAAAATTGTTTTGTTTTTTTGAGACAGGGTCTCTCTACGTAATTCCGACTGATCTTGAACTCACTATGTAACCTAATATGGCCTCAAACTGGAAGCAGTCCTCTGCGTTAGCCTCCTGAGTAATAGCATTATAGGCATGTGCCATCACCCCTGGCTGATAAAAGAAATATTGAAGTATACATACACACACCATTCAGTTTATGTGAAATAACCTTTGTATTTATAATTTTTTTTTCTTTTTTTTTAAAGTTTTTTCTATCGGTACCAGGGATCGAACTCACAACCGCCTGCTTGCAAGGCAGGTGCTTATGCTGCTGAGCTAAATCCCCAGCCCCTTTTTTTTGTATTTTTGAAACTGTTTCAGGCTGGCTTTGAATTCACCTTGTAGTCCAGCCTGCCTTTGAAGATCCTCCTTCTGCCTCAGCCTTCCAAGTGCTGGGAATACAGGTATTCACCACCATGCCGGGCTGTACATGGGAGGTTTAAATTTTTTTTTTTTAATTAAAAAAAGATACCTACCTGTAATCTCAGCACTCAGGAGGCTGAGGCAGGAGGATCACCATGGCTTGAGACCAGTGTAGTATACACAGTGAGTTAAGACTCAGTCTAAACTACAGAGCAAATGAGACCATGTCTCAGCAAAAAAAAAAATTTTTTTAAAGGGTAGGGGCCCAGGAATGTAGCTTTTGGCTAGTATGCATGAGGCCCTGGGTTTAATCCCCAGCACTACAGGAAGGGAAAAAAAAAAGCAAAACAGCAAAGAGAATTTTATTCAGTGAGGGTTTTTTTTTGTTTTTCTTAAGTGTATTTTGGTGGTTTTCTTTTTGTTTTTCCTAGGGGAGACAGTTGGATTCAACACTCTACAAGGACAAGGAGAGACTTATAGTCAAGAAGCTGGATCAGGGTCTTTAGGTGGAAAATTACCAGGAGGAAACATCAGGGTGAGGAGAATTCCAGCCAACTTGACCTAACAGGATTTTTCCTGAGGGTAGGCGAGGGTGATGTGATACTCGGGGAGGGAAAATGAGTTGGCTCAGATGTCAAGAGTGGGGGATTTTGCTAAACTGACTCAACACAATCCTTGCTGACAGTGCACTAAATGGAGCTCAACAGTGAAGGCCGAAGACTGCTGCTTAGTTGGGAACAGTTTAAAGCAGTTAGGTCAAACTACCGTTAGGTCAGAGTAATCAGAGATTGTGATGTGGAGACATGCTTCACTATATTAGCTTTCCATTGCTATGTAACACATTTTCATAAAATTAGTGACTTAACACAATACTTTCACTATTACAGTTCCTGTAGGTCAGAATTCCAGACATATTTAATTGCATCGGCAGCCAGCGTGGGACCTTGCTGTAGCGGTGTTGGGAATACTCCCCCAGACTTAAATGTGTTTGTGCAGATAATAAAGCACCCAGACACCAAGAAATCTTCACAAGGCAAGGTTGTTTTACTTCTGAAGAAGGGCTTGAGCACATTTTAACATGAGGTTGGAAGCACGAAGTGACTCAGCAGCAGGGTCCTTTGTTTTTTAACATGAGAAGCAGCTGAAGGATGGTCTATGGAGGTCTCAGTCATGTGGGACTCCACCTTTCCTGGAATACAGGTGACCCTGAGTTTAGGGCAGGACTGGAGACTTCTGGTTATAGCTGAATATACCTGTAAATGTTGGTGTCACAGTTTTAATGAGATCATGTAAATCTGGGGGGATCAACCATGTCTGGCCACTTCCTAATAGACACTGCTTAAATGATCAACATCCCCTAGGCAGAGGTGAGAAGAGATTTGACCATTGATTTACAGTACAGAGGATGCAAAGTGAAGGTCAAGCTTTGTTCTGCATTTAGTTACAGCTTGGGCATCTGTAGACACAAATCAGGAGTCATGGTTCATAGTAAAATGACTTTTGTTAGGGTCTGTGCCTACATCCCCAATCCCCCAAATGAGTGCACGGTGAAGGTCCAAAGGAGTGAGACAAGCAGTATGGTCTGTAGGGCTCCAGGAGGACTAAAATTCTTTGCGGAGTTCATCACTTTGATAGCTGACCGACAGACTGTCCCTGGGTGGCCCGTATTTATTCAAAACAAGGGAGGAGTTGGGTGGAAAATTCAGGAAACCTGAGCAGGATCTTGGGAGGGATTCAAGGACCCCTCTGAGCAACAGATGATACTAATTAAGGAAAACGATCCAGAAAGTCTCCAGGTGGCCTCAGCTGTGGCCTATCTTGCGCCCTGAGGTGTCTGTCTCTTTATTCTCAGTTCAGCCATGCCTGGGCCATGCCACAGCCCTGCACATGTACTCAGCTTCAGGGACTCCAACAGGCTTTTAAATCCCTAACTGTTCCAGAAGAAAACACAAATCATGCTTTTAAGGAATAGCTATAAAGGTCAAGGATTCTGTCTCTTCTCCATCCCTATGGTAGATCTTGACTATATCATAATTTGGTCAGCTGGGTCCTCTGTTCAGAGTAAGAATCATCATGTTGACCAAGCCATATTCTCTTCTGGTGGCTTCACTGAGCAATAACCTGCTTCTAAAAGTTTTAGGAAGAATTTATTTTCTTGGGAATATAACCTTCATGGTAGCATGCATCTTCCAGCTGTTGTTACTGGGTGGAGTCCAAGGAGTTTCCCCAAAGATGAGATGGGGATGTTGTCTTGGCGTTTTGAGTCAGTTCTTTCTCCTCCTCCTTCTTCTCTTCCTTCTTCTCTAATTTTATTTAAAATTTTTTTTACCAAATTAATTTTATTTCAAGGAGAAAAAAGAAGAGGAGGAGAAAGAAACTAAAAATTTCAAAACGCATCAATTGGGGCAGCAATGGTACATGCATTGTGCATTATTATCCCCAAATCATCCACCCAGAGCACAAGACATCTGTCTTCAGTTGTCTGAACAACACCGCCACAAATCTTTCTCTTCAGTGAACTCAGAGAAATCAGTAGTGTAATTATCTTAACTATTGTTTTATATACATACATATATATATATATATATATATATATTGTTTCAGCTTCTCATACTAATGAGACAATAAGATGTTTATACATGTGTCTTATTTATTTCACTAAATAATGGGCTCAATGAGTATGGGCTCAAGTTGCATCCATTTACCTATAAAAGTCTCCAGTTTATCCTACTTTATGGCCAACTAGTACTCTTGTTATATAAAAATACCACATCGTTTTCATCTGTTCCTCAGTCAGTGGGCATTTAGGTTGTTTCCAAGATCTGGATATTACAAATTCTCTTGCTAAAAACATAGATGGAGATCTATCACTGTGGTATGATCTTTTTAATTCTTTTGGGAAGACACCCAAAAGGGAATAGCTGGGTTGAATGGGACCTCTATTCCTAGTTTTTTGAGGACTCTTCACAGTGACTGTACAAGTCTGCGTTTCCATAAACAGTGGAGAAGAGTTTCCCCCACATCCTTTCCAGCATTTGAGTTTGAGTTCTCTGTTTGAGTTCTCTTTTTTTCTGTCTCTCTCTCTCTTTTTTTTTTTTTTTTTGTCTCTTTTCATTTTTATCAGTACCAGGGATCGAACTCACGACCACACACTTGCAAGCAGGCGCTTATGCCGCTGAGCTAAATCCTCAGTCCCACTGTTTGAGTTCTTGATAATAGTCATTTTTGGGGGCTGGGGATTTAGCTCAGTGGCATAAGCGCCTGCCTTACAAGCAGACAGTCGTGAGTTTGATCTCTGGTACCCATAAAAACGAAAAAGACAAAAAAAAAATAGTCATTTTTTCCAGGGTGAGGTGGAATCTCAGGGTTGTTTTAATTCTCATCTCTCAAATGACCAGTGAGGTTGAACATGTTTTCACATATTTATTTGCTGTTCATATTTCTTCATCAGAGAAGTGTGTATTCATCTCAGATGCCCATTTTTGGATTGGATCTTTAAATCTGGGAGGACTGATTTTTTTTTGAGTTTTTTACATGTTTTTGATGGTAATCCTTTGTCTGAAGTACAGCTGGCAAGCATTTTTCTCCCACATTGTGTGTTGTCTCTTCACTCTGTTGGTGATTTCTCTTGCTATGCAAAAGTTTTTCTTAAAAAAAAAGTCTTTATTTTATTTTACTTTAAAGACAATAAAGTAGAATGAAACCAATCAAAATAAACCAGTGTAATAGAAACAGGACTTCAAAACCTTACAAAATCAACAATAGTTACCATAATGCCTTTTGATGTCTTCAAAGTAGTTGCAGATATTCCGGGTGTGGCTCATGCCTGTAATCCCAGCACTCGGGAGGCTGAGGTGGGAGGATCATTACGAGTTCAAGACCAGCCTGGGCTACAAAGTGAGTTAAAGGTCAGCCTGAACTGCACATGGAGACCCTGTCTCAAAAAAGACAAAAATAAATAAATAAATAAAATAGTTGCAGATAACTTTGGACATGTGAAAATCAGACAGAAACAATAAAAACAAAACAATGAATGCAATAAAGGACTTCAAATCAAGCCAATAGTAAACCCAAAATTGCTACCATAGTATATATCTTTCTATCTTTGATATAGCTGCTCCTGCTGTCAGATTTAACATAAATAAAACAAAGAATAAAACCCAACCCAACAAAACAATGGAAATAATATAGGACCTCAAAACAAGACCATGAGGAATCAACCATAGCTGCAACCCTCAGAAGGAGATCCCCCTAGATGCCACACCGTGTACGGCTATCATCTGAACTCAAGATCAGACCACTGGCCCTAGACCTGCAATAGTAGTGAAACAACAAAGCACCACAGGCATCCAGCTGCATTTCACCTTGATGCTATCATCACAGCCTGTGTTTCTCCAGATAAGCTGGTTGCTTATGGGGCGGGGGATGGGGGGTTGGAGAGGACTGGTACTTCTTGTTTGCCAGCCTGTGCCCTGGAAGGGGCTGAGGTCTGGCTGTCCCCAGTGTGGCAGCAGCCTATGCTGCAAAAGCTTTTCAATAGGGTGAGATCCTAGTTGTTGATTCTTTGTGATAGTTTCTATACAATTGGGGTTTTATTCATAAAGTCTCTGCCTACACCAATGTCTTCAAGAGTTTTATTTACTCTATTTTCCAGCAGATTTAATGTTTCTGTTTTAATATTAAAATCTTTGATCCTGGGGCTGGGAATTTAGCTCAGCGGCATAAGTACCTTCCTGGCAAGCAGGCAGTCGTGAGTTCGATCCCTGGTACTGATAAAAAAAAAAGATCTTTGATCCTTTCTGATTTTAGCTTGTTACACTGTGGAAGATAAGGATCCAGTTTTATTCTTTAGCATGTGTAGAGGCACTTTTTCCAGAACCATTTATTAAAGAGGCTATCTTTCTTCCAGTGAATGTGTTTGGCATTTTGTCAAAGATAAGATGACTTAGTGTGTCTAGAGTTGTTTCTGCATCTTCTAATCTGTTCTGTTGATCTTTGGGTCTGTTTTTGCCAATTTCACACTGTTTTTATCACAGTACCTTTATAGTATAATTTCAAGTCAGGGATTGTGATGTCCCCTGTCTTGCCTTTGTTGCCCAGGATTGCCTTTGCTATTCTAGATCTCTTCTGGTTCCAGATGAATTTTAGAATTGTTTTCTCTAATTCTGTCAGATATGCTATTGGAATTTTAATTAGGATTGCACTGAATCTGTATAACAGTTTTGGAAATACGGCTATTTTCATTATCTTGGTTCTTCCTACCCAACAGCACAGAATATCTCTCCATTTTATTTTATTACTTTATTTATTAATTTTTTTAGTACCAGGAATTGAACTCATGACCTCATACTTGCTAGGCAGGCACTTATACCACTGAGCTAAATCCTGGTTTATCTCTCCATTTTCTAATATCCTTTTCAATCTCCTTTTTCAGAGTATTATAGTTTTCAAATTATAGATCTTTTACATCCTTTGTTAGGTTAATTTCTAGATATTTCTTTTCTTTTCTTTTTTTTATATTCATTTTTTTGGATGCTATCGTAAAAGTATTGTTTCCCTGATTTGTCTTTTAGTGAGTTTGTAATTTGTGTTTGGGAAGGATACTGATTTTTGAGTGTTGATTTTGTAACCACATACATTATTGAATTTGCTTATTAAATCTAGTAGTCTTGGGCTGGGGATTTAGCTCAGCGGCATAAGTGCCTGCCTTGCAGGCAGGCAGTCGTGAGTTTGATCCCTGGTACCGATGAAAAGGAAAAAGACAAAAAAAATCTAAAAAAAATAAATCTAGTAGTCTTTTTGTGGAGTTTTTGGTGTCCTCTAAGTAGAGTCTCAGTAGGTTCTTTTTTTTTTTTTTTTTTTTTTTGGTACTGGGGATTGAAGTCATGACTTTGCACTTGCCAGGTAGGTGCTTATGCCACTGAGCTAAATCCCCAGCCCTTCTGAGTAGGTTCTAGACTTATGTTGCAGTAAAACAATTTCAGCACACACAAGTGAGAGACATAGACATTTTTTATTAGGCAGAGTTAAAGTAATACACACTTGGGACTTATGGTAAGATGGTGGAGTGGTGAACAGCAGAGAGAGATTTTCTGTGAAATTTGGTGTCCAGATGCTAGAATGTAGAAATGTGAGCAGGAGATGAAGGGGAGATAGGTCTAAAGCAAGGAATGATCTAAAGCAAGAGTTAAAGCTCACAGGGTGATAAAGAGAGACCATGATGCAGAAGAAAGAGATGGCCAGCAGAGCTTTCCCCAGAGCCCTTGCTCACTGAGTGAGAGGGGCAGCTTAAACCTGCAGGTGCACTGTGACTGCTGCAACCTCAGAGGCCTCCATGGAGGAGCACATCAGTGGAATGGAACAATGGACATTGCAGAATGCAGAGGCTGGTGAGTTATTCAGGGTTAGATCTCCCCCAATTGAGGGCCATTGGCCAATAGCCATCTTACAAAGGGGCCAACTGAACTTGGAACTCAGAACAGCTGTGAGATGGCTCAGTCAGTCCGGTGGCTGCCAGGGTCAGGGTGAGACTGTGGAGTTCAAATTGGCAGGAGATGCAGGAGCTGAATTTGAGCTGGCATGGAGCCAAGTTCAATTTGGGCAGGAGGCACAGGGATCTTTCCAGGCTGAATGAATTGAGTTCCAGCCGCATTGCCACTGAACTTCGGTGGAACCAAAAGTGTAGTCTTGCTGGGATTATCTACTACCCTGCTGTAAAGCTGTGGCTGGCCTGCTGGGGTAATCAACATGGATCCGGACACTCTGCCCATATAATCTACCCGTGATAGTAGAGACAAACCTTGAAGTGGACACTTTTTTCTTTTTCTCTTTTTGTTTTTGTTTTGATTTGTTTTCTTCATTGTTCTTGTTAGTATATGAGTGTGAACGTATTTCTTTCTTTCTTTTTTTAATTTTTTTGAGACAGGGTCTCACTATGCAGTTTTAGGCTGGACTTGAACCCACTTTGTAGCTGAGGCTGATCTTGAACTTACAGTGATCCTCCTGCCTCAGCCTTCTAAGTGCTGGGATTACAGGCATGTGCTACTATGCCTGTCTCTTCTGTTCTGTTCTTTTTATTTTTTCCTTCTCTCTTTCCCTCTGGTCTCCTTCACCAGTTTCCCAAAATTTGCATGATCTTGCTTTGTTCTCCAGCCTTGCTTCTACCCTTTTCCTGTTCTTTAATTTCTCTATTTTCTCCCTAGCTGGGATCCCTGCCCGCCCCTGCACATTATGTCCCAGCGTTCACCCCACCCACTCTGCGTGTTCCATGTCAGCCTGCCCCTCCGCGGCGCCAGGCACAAGCTGCTGCTGCCGCTGCTGTTCCTCCATGGTGCCGGGCGCGGGCCATTGCCACGATCCTTCCATGGCGCCAGGCGCCACCTCTGGCCACCACTGCAGGCCTCCAAGCCCCACCCCGCCATGGGCGGTCACAGCTGAAATACGTTATTTCCCTGCGCCATCTTAGCGCGTCATAGCAGCGTCTAGGTGGAAATCTCTGTCCGCCCCTGCGTGCTATGTCCCTACGTTTGCCCCGCCCACTCTGCATGTTCCATGTCAGCCTGCCCCTGCGCACTGTGTGGTGGTGCTCATCTCGCCCCAAGCATAACTCTGTTCTCTCCCTACAGGCGCAATCTATCTCAGAGTTTCAGACTGCCTTAAACACTGTGGGTTCCCAACGTCTTGCGGCTCCACTCAAACATTTTTTTTACAATTCAGTTCCACTCAAGAGAGGTTATTTTTTTATATTAACGTCTTACATACTTACTTAATTCTACAGATAACTTTTACTATAGTCCAGATCTCAAACAACAAGACAAAACTTGACCTTCAAGCTCCACAGAGACCTTGATATGGGTTTTCATATTTTAAATAACACTTACAGTTCTGAGACAGACAAATCTACACAAGGTAAAGCTGCCTGCTCCCCCCCCCCCCGCCATGGGCTGCGCTCAGATGCAGCAGAAGACATCAGACAAGGTGCCCCATCCTGGCATTCTTTGAGACCTTACTCCAGGGCTGTTGGGCTATCCTGGCCACCAGAGAGTGGCTGGGCCATCCTAACTTGTAGCCCTCACAGGTCACAGGAGCCAACCACCTCTGTGGGTGTCTGTCTCAGAGTCCAAGTCACATTAAAACTCTCAAGGTAAGACATTCTCTATATTTGTGGACATAAGAGGCCACATATACAGAGTTTTTACTGAGTTTTCAGGCTAATAAATCCTCAATGTCTCACGGAGTATTAAAGGTCAACCTATGCCAGTTACAAACAGGGCCTATTTTATACAGGTCCCAGTCCTAAATCTTAAAATGCTTTTATTCCCTTTTAAACTACCATCCTGGTTTCACATCACTCAGGCCCAAGATTTAACCATCCTTTTGGTACTCATCTCTGCCTTACGACTTACAGGTTTTCATGTTTTGTTATCTACTTTGGTTCTTAATTTCTTACATTCTATTAATGATCATTGTTATAGCAGGACTCTTTAACAGGATTGCCTACAGACTTCAACGTCATATATACCAGAGACAAGCCTTACCTACCTACCTTTTAACTTTTATGCTTTCATATGAGGGAATAAGCACCTCTCATAACTTCACTCCTCCTAATCCCACATTTAATTTTTCAGAATTCTGCCTTGCCATAAAAATGTTCCTACCTCAACGTCATCCTAATAGAATAACATGTCTAAATCAAAGGCACCTTTCCCTCTACCTCACTTGGGTCCGTAAATATGACAGTGCCATGTCTCCTCATAACATCTTGTCTCCTTGTCTTTTCAGTCTAATATACGTGCATTCACCAGTGAACTTGTCCTGGCTAAAACTCCTGGCACCAGCTTCTACCTAGACATCAACTGTCATCCCGTCGACTCCCCTAGACCCCAGTACAGCGCCCTCAGCCAGCAGGAAGTAGTTAAAGAGCGAAATCTTCGCCCCTTTTCCTAATAATCATAAGACGGGATATGAAAGGGTTGCTGGCCCAGACCGGACATTATAGCCAGAAAAGCCTCAGCTGGAATTAGGGAGCTCCTGCCTCCCCCACCCCTAGAGATTTACCTGTAACCCTATACCCCCACCCTTAGAAACCTGCCCCTGCCACCAAACATGTGCCAATGAAATACGTGTGCATCTCTAATGGCCTTAGGGCACTGCCCTAAGCTTAAGCTACTTATATTCCCCCACGCCACGTGTCCGCGGGAGAGATCGCTGGCCCCGTGGTGGAGATGCCACCCCCCAGGGGGTCGGGGGGTGTCTCTCCCCGCATTCCTAAAATAAAAGTTACTTATATTTTATACTTCTTATCTTTTCAGCCGCCGCCAGTCCTTCTCCTCTTCCCCCCTTCCACAGATCTATCACTAACATCTTTAAATTTTCTCCCCTCATGGTAAAATCACAATATTGAGATAATATTTACTGTGTACAATTTTCTGGTTTGTTTTAGAATTTTTTTGTGTCACCAGGAATCAAACTCAGGACCTTTAGCTTGGCAGGCAGGTGCTTGTGCTACTAAGCTATATCCCAGGCCCTAGATTTTCTTATGTAACCATAAACCTTTTCTAGGCTGTGCTTGATGCAATTTTTATTGCCATTGTGTTAATTTCACCAAGGTGAAATAATTGTAGCTGTTTTTCTTGCTATGCCAATTCTGAGTTTGCCAAAGGGTCATAGAAAATACTATAGCCCAGTGCTGAAGAGGGGTTGGGCCAAGTGGATAGCAACTTTTCATCACCAATAAATTGAAGAGGTAGGGTCTTGCAAAAGAAGCAAAACCCAAAAGCCAGCTACACCTAGAAGATACCTCTGAGAAGTAGTTGCTTCCTAAGGGTTTCAAATACTAGCAGTAAAGCTCCCACTGTAAGCAATTTACAAGCATCAACCCAGAAATTAATTTTAAAAATAGTAAATGAGAAGACACTTAAGCAAGATGCAACCCCAGATTTCCAGCTCACCAAAGCAATTATGTAGAACAATTCAAAAGTCAACCATGTGGACTGTGAACTGGTAGGCAAATGAATGAGGTGCTAGAAAAAAAGTCAAAAATAATTTCTTAGATGACAGAGCTGGTGACTATAATGAAAGACAATGGTGACTCTAGAACAGCTACTGGTAAAAAATACAACAGCTTTGGAAAATGATGGAAATCATGAATGCTCAACATAGGAAAGAAATGGAATCCATGAAGCAGAGTCATGCAGATATCCAGGAGCTTAAAAATTCCACTGAAAACACAGTGAAAAACACAGCAGAATGAGCTGATGTGAGAACAGAATACCAGGTACCCCAGACAGGATTGTGGTTACTGAGCATGAAAAGAAAGATTTCTTAAAATTAGCAAGAGGGGTGGGTGTGGTAGTGTATGTCTGTTATCCCAACATTCTGGAGGCTGAGGCAGGAAGATCACTGTGAGTTTGAGGCTAGCCTGGGCTACAAAGTGAGTTCAAGTCTAGACAACTGCATAGTGAGACCCTGTCTCAAAAACAAACAAATGGGGCCAGGGGTTTAGCTCAGCAGCGTAAGTGCCTGTTTGGCAAATGCAAGGTCGTGAGTTTGATGTATGACACCAAAACAAACAAACAAACAAATGACAATAACAGGGGCTGGGGATTTAGCTCAGCGGCATAAGCTCCTGCCTTGCAAGCAGGCAGTCGTGAGTTCGATCCCCAGTACCGATAAAAAGGAAAAAGACAAAAAAAAATTACCAATGACAATAACAGCAACATAAAATAGCAAAGGAGCACAAAACATCAATTCAGCAGCTGCTAGATGATGCAAAGAAGAATAGTACAAGATTAATTGGAGTCAATGAAAAAGCAGGAGAGTGCAAACGACATAAAAACTGTGTTCACAGAAATAGAGAAAACTTCCCAAGCATGGAAAAGAATTTGAAATACAGATAAATGAGGCATATCAAACTCCAAGTAACCATCATCAAAAAAATCCATACCAGGGCATATAATAAGATTCCAAAACTTCAATCCAAGAACAAGTTATTAAAACTGTAAGAAAAAAATGAATAAATAACCTATAAAGGAAAGCTCATCAGAATCATAGCAGACATATCAACATGAACCCTGTTGTACTTTAGAAAAAAATAGCTTCATTATATTGGTATTATACCAAAATATCTGTAATGTGGCCATACTATATATATGTTTCCCTTCCCCCTTTTCCCTCTGGGTGACCTAATTGATATGTTAATCAATACTCTCCTCTGTAAAGATTTGTAAATTCCTGGGAGACTTTGCTGTCCTCTCCTAAGAGAAACAAAGGTTGTTAATTGCTGCTAGACTCCTCTATTCTCTGCTGAGGAAAACAGGATCTTCCGCATTAGCCTATCTCCTGATCCACGCCCATAACCTTTACTTTGGGAGCTGTGATAGGTACTAGGGAGGGGCGGCAAGTTTAGAGGAAGGACACTAAGCTTTTGCAGTCTCCAGCTGCACTGTGTCGCAGGGCCCATGGTAACATAAATCAGTGCTGCCTTTTAAAATACATTTTTGCCTTATTCTTTAAACTCAAGCTTGGGGGCTCGTTTGTGGATTATAAGAACCCTCAAGTCAAGAAGTTTGAAGTTGAGCTGGGGATTTAGCTCAGTAGGCATAAGCACCTGCCTTGCAAGCAGGCAGTTGTGAGTTCGATCCCCGGTACCGATAAAAAAGGAAAAAGACTTAAAAAAAAAAAAAAAAGTAGTTTGAAGTGAAGTGAAAGAGTTGCTGGCTCAGACTGAACACTGTAACCAGAAAAGGCTGCAGCTAAACTCCCCCCCCCCCGCCCCCTATGGACTTGATTGTAACCCTATATCCCCATCCTTAAGAACCTGTGCGCCAATGAGATACCTGTGCATCTCTAATGGCCTTAGGGCGCTGCCCTAAGCTTAGGCTATTTAGACTCCCCCACGCCATGTGTCAGAGAGAGTTTGCCAGAGAGAGAGTTCGCCAGAGAGAGAGTTCGCCAGAGAGAGAGTTTGCCAGAGAGAGAGTTTGCCAGAGAGAGAGAGCTTGCCGGATTCCAGTGGCCAGCGCCGGCCAGCACGCCAGTCTCCACTCCCCGTGTTCCCGGAGAGACCACCGGCCCCGGGTGCAGAGATGCTGCGCCCCGGGGCCGGCGGCGGGGGGCCCCCTCCCCGCATTCCCGGAATAAAGTCACCGCTGCCCACTACTTTCACGGCCTTCCGCTCCATTCCTCCCACGGACTTCCCTCTCTCTCCTCCTCCCCCTTCTCTCAGACCTAACAGAAGTATGTCAAGCCTTAAAAGAAAAAAACCTCCAACACAGATTGATGTATCCTGCAAAACTATCTTTCAAAATTAATGGAGAAACAAGATACTTTTGTGGGAGACAACTCCAGTGACTCCCTTTGAATACAAAACAATTACTGTGACTTTGATTATTCGGAGACTGGTGTCCTTATACTGATATGTAAAAAGCTGGCTAGAGTATTTTCTGTTCTCTATGATCCCCCAAAACAATTCCACTGCTACCCTAATTGGATTATGTAATTGATCCTTCTGCATGTCTTTATCTCTGCAATTTACAGAGATGCCAATCTTGCACTTGGCCAGCCAGCTCAAGTTACTTACATAATCACCCCCTCCCCCATCCTGACTGTCACTCATCCCTAAGCTACCCCTCTTCTTCACAAGATAATAAATGCTGGGAGAGGCCGAGGATCAAGGCCTTTTCCACATGTCCTCATGGGGACTGGATTTAGGACCCCTTGGCTGCCTTTAACTTGGAAAACGTCTTGGTATTTTTACTCTTGCTGTGGGCTGAATTGGTGGTGGTAGATTGGAGTTAACTTGCGAGGATTCCAAAAACATCTCAATGGGATTGCAAATATAATTTTTGGATTGTGAGAAAAACTAGAAAGAGGATTACAATACTTGGATAACTGTACTTGATATTTGAGTTTACAATAACTTCCATGACAAAGAATACCTGAGCAATTTTGTGAACACCAATCCAGCACTCCAAAATGTTCTGAAGGATATTCTCGAAAGAGATGATGTAGACATCAATTCCATGAACCCCAACAGAAGGAACCTACCAGGCAAGGCAAACAGTTAAACAGAAGGGAGATAAAAGGGAGCCAACAACAGGAAAATAGCATGACAAGGATAAGTCAATTCATGTCAGTTACAGCCATCAGTGTTAATGGTCTTAGGGCTGGGGATTTAGTTCAGAGGGATTTATGCCTGCCTGGCAAGCACTAGGTCATGAGTTTGATCCCTGGTACCAAACCAAACCAAACCCTACCAAAGCAAACAACAACAACAAAAAACCCCAAAATGTTAATGGTCTTGATTCACCAATCCAAGAAGTAGATCCACAGAATGGAACAAGAACAGGGCAAATAATTCATCCAAGGTGGACCTAGGACAGATGCCTCCTCCCTTCTTTGATTTCCTGCAAACAGAGGACACTGCAGCTTGGCAACAAATTTTGCTGGCACATACAGGGGTGAGTGATTGTGTTGGGAGCCTTGGAAGCTGGTAAATAACCACATGTGCAAGGCTGGGGCATGACCATCCCAAGAACAAAGGGCACCCAGGGCAGGCCACTGGAAGAAGCTTCTTCAGCTCAGAGAACATCCAGCCCCAAGATAATCCAAACAGTGGGTAGCTAGGACAATGGGGTGTCTTGTGATGTTAAGTTGTTAAAATGTATAAATAAATGTCCTGACAGTGAAGGGACAATCCTTTTTCTTTCTTTCTTTTTTTTTATTGCTGGGGATGAAACTCATGATCTTGCATTTGCCAAGCAGGCACTTATGCCATTGAGCTAAACCTCCAGCCCTACAATCCCTTTTCTTCCACAGGAAAGAGAAGTCTCCTTCCAACCCCAGCTTTTTTCTCTTTATCTTCTCATCTTCAGGATCCTTCACCCCAAGAACCTTACGAGCCACACAAGGCATGACATTCTTGCTCGCTCCCTTGATGGGCCACTAGGATTTTTCTTTCTTCTTTTTTTTTTTCTTTCTCTGTCAAGCACTAAAACCCTGATGCATATTTAGAACATCAATCACTCCTATTTATTCCTAGGAGAAGTACGTAGGGATAGTCATTTTTTTTTCTCTCTTTATTTTGAAACCTGAAAAAGTGCCTCCAGCTACAGTTGTAGTATGTTTTCATCTTCTGCACCACTCTGGAGGGCCCAGCCGTGACTCTATAATGTTTCTAAATAATTTCGCTATCTGCAGTACTGGGGATCACAGTGCCACTGTAGTGTGGGTCTAGGATGGTCTGACTCAGGATTCCTCATAGGATTTTCGGCACAATAAAAGAGAGAATATA